CCCTGAAGCCCTACAGCAGTATGCACATTGGCTTTCCCCCTTCTTTAAAGTGTTCTGTTCAAATTGAATTCATTTGACATATTTATATTCTACTTTTCTTTTCAAGGAATCCAAGGTGGCTTACGTAATCCCTCCTTCCATTTTATCCTTACAACATCCTTTTAATGTTTTTAATTGTACGTGTTGTGTGCCATTCCGAGATGCCGAGGCATGTGGTGATGGCATCTAACAGTTTTAAATAAATAAATCCTTGCAAGGCAGATTAAGTTGAGTCAGTGACTGGACTGAAGTCACCCAGTGAGTTTCATGACTGAGTGGGGACTAGAAGCCAGATCTCCTGACTTCCAGCCCAACACTCCAAACACTATGCCACAAAACCCATTATTTCTCTCTCTCTATGTATATGTATCAAAAATTTTAATTTACTTTAAATACTGTATATTCTCAATATCTATTGAGAGACAGTGTGGTGCAGTGGTTAAGAGTGTGAGCCTGGAATTCAGGTGATTTGGGTTCCAATCCCCGGTTGATCATAGAACCAAGTGGGTGACTTTGGATCAATCACAGACTGTCAGCCCGGCCTACCTCACAGGGTTGTTGTGGGGATACGAAGGAGGAGGAAGAAAGCCACTTTGAGTTCATTGTAAGAAAAAAGGCATGATATAAATATAATAAATAAAAATATGATGGGTAAGATCCAATCCTGGTCATATCTAGGATAGATATAGAAAATCAGTGAAACGCAAATTAGTAATGGCTATCATATGTTCCACTGAGTTCACTGTGGCTATTCTAAGTATGACAATGCCTGTATGTAATTCATTTAAAATGCTGTTTATTCTAAATGCTTTATTGAAATAAACATAAAAGGTTCTTTTAGGCACTCTGCTAAAGGAGCTTTTTTTTGTAAAATACATGAGTTACATGGAACAATAAAAAAAGCCCTTCGGAAAATAATTTTGTGTGCTGCTCTGCCCTCTTGTGGATGTGGTGGACACAGCAAGCATACGGAAAAAGTAGGAAAAGTTCAGCCCAAACTGGAACAGTCCCTTTGAGTTCTTACCTGCAGAATAACCTACCTGCAATGAGATCCATTCAATGTACTTACAGTCCATACAAGACAGAAATAACAAATATACAGAAATAATTTCCCAGGTAGAAGGTGATATAGTGTGTCCCAAGTGATGAAAGCATTCTGATTTTGTTCGGAGCTGACTCAAGGTATTTTGATACATGACAATCCAGATACCCACATTCTGGATGGTTTAACAAGGCTTTTGTGCCTTCAAACACAGCTTGACGGCTTTTACCTCCATGTCCTGAAACGTCGCCTTCTGGGGATTGCTCCAGATCAAGCTGGAGAAATCGACAGGAGGCAGAGGCTATTAAAGGCAGAGCTTCAGGTCAGGGCTTGTTTTTCTGGATATTTAGTAACCATGTGCCCTCAATAACAGGGAACGCAATCCACTGGGATGTTTCTTGTGCAAGTCTTGTGGAAAGATTACCACTGCCAGTACTATTTCGTTGTTGTTATTATAAGTTACAAGCTGTTTAGCCAAAATTGCCTTCCATGGTTATAACTTGCAAGTCATGGCACACCAGGAATGAAGATGCGGAGCGGGAAGGAAAAGAGCAAGCCCATGAGGCTAGAAGCGATGGGACGGCATACAAAAACTCTAAATAAATAAAGGAATGAACAAATGAATCACTTCTTAAAGTTATCGACAGTTCAGGTAGGCTGCTGGAATGGCTGCTGTTACCTGACAGGTAAGGGAGGTCCAAAGACAGCCGGACAGATGGAACAGCGCAGCTTATTTCTCTTCCCTGCTTTGTAGCGCCTGTTAATTTCTGTGCGGTTGATGCAGGAAATATTTATTTATTTATTTATTTATTTATTTAAAATATTTCTATGCCACCTCCATCGCAACAAAGCCTCAGGCGGCTCACAGCATAATTAAAGCATATAAATAACAATTAATACAATTAGAGATTAAAAAGCCCGGTAGCATCTCGGCTTAAAAATTTAAAATCCTATGAATACCATAATAAGTTAACAATTAAAATAAGTTTTAAATAAAAAGGTCTTGGCCTGGCACCGAAAAACTAATAGCAACGGCGCCAGGCAGACCTCTCTGGGGAGCGCATTCCATAGGTGGGGCGCCACCACAGAGAAGGCCCTCCTCCGGGTACTCGCCCTCCTAATATCATTCACGGAGGGTTCCCGGAGAAGGGCATCTGTTGCCGATCTCAAGGGGCGAGAGGGCATATATGGACGCAAGCGTTCCTTTAGATAACCAGGTCCCAAGACGTTAAGGGCTTTATAGGTCATAACCAACACCTTGAATTGGGCCCGGACTTCAATGGAGAGCCAGTGACGCTGATACTGGGGTTATATGAGAGTAACGCCCAGTCCCCGTCAGCAGCCTGGCAGCTCTATTCTGCACCAATTGAAGTATCCGGACCATCTTCAAGGGTAGCCCCACATAGAGCACATTACAGAAGTCCAATCGGGAAGTTACCAATGCGTGTGCCACTGTTGCCAGGCAGTTGTTCTCCAGGAAGGGACGCAGCTGACGGATCAGCCGAAGCTGAAGGAAGGCGCTCCTCGCCACCGCTGTCACCTGAGCTTCTAGTGACAGCTCAGGGTCGAGGAGCGCTCCCAAGCTGCGAACTCTGTCCCTCAGAGGGAGTGCAACCCCATTTAGGACAAGGTCCAAGTCCTCCATCCCAAAGCTCAAACCACCCACCAACAGGACCTCCATCTTGTCTGGATCGAGCTTCAGTTTATTGGCACATGTAATACCCATGTCTCACTCTGCTGCCCCTGCTACCTGCTTCAAATCTGTCACATGAGTCAGCCGGTTGATCGCCATGCCAGGGCCCCCTTTGATATTGCTATATGTGCAACACCTTTCAGCATTTCAGGGTCAACGCAGCTCAGCATTTTATGGAGCAGCCCATGGCCTCTGCAGAGCCGACCCTGCTCTTTCTTGTGTCCAAACGCACATCACAAAGGGGAGTCATGTGGCACTTCTGAGTTAGGATTCGTACTCGGGGAACTTAAAATCCACCTGCTCCAACTGCTCCTGCTGAGGCAAGGGCAGTCCCCGTTTTCTCCTGCGACCTTTCCTCAGCATTCCATGGAAGAGCCCATGCTTGGCCTGCCAAAAATCTCCGCTTTGGTTCAAAGGAGCTGACAGGTGGAGATGGGAAAGGCCCTTCCCTAAGCCTCTGGGGAGCCACTGCTGGGAAGAACAAGTCTAGGCTGGATGGACGAGTAGGATGCTGACTTAACCTGACCTGATTACATAGAAGACCAATTCCCTGCAGGAGGCATTCGCGGCAAGGTGCACACGCAACGCTTTGACATAGAAGTCCCGTATCACCAGCCATATCTGGGCTGCGGTTGTGGGGCTGAAGCCAAAAACATCTGGGGAACATCTGGCTTAGCCTCACCCTACAGCATCCTGGAGAAATGGCTACTTCACCTCTGCTTGAATAAGAGGTGCCTTCCAAAGCAGACTGCTCTAACATCAAGCAGCTCACAGGGCTGCTGTGAAGATGAAATAGAGAGGAAGAGGACCGTGCAGGCATCCTTGGATTCCTTGCAAGAAGGAAAACGGTGGAATAGGAATAATATCCTTCCAGGAAATCAAGGCAGCATTCATCTCCCCACCTGTTAGTCTCACAACAACCCTGCGAAGTAGCAAACTTCAAGGCTACGTGAGCAATCTGATCCTGGGTCGCCCCAGTCTGCGCACGTCCGTCTAGCCTACAGGTGAGCAATTCATGGGCCTCAACTCAGTGACTGGAGGAAGCCAGAGATGCTGTTTCCATGCTTCTTTTAGTAGCACCAGGATGATAATGTGCGGGGGGGGGGGGGGTTTAGCCTCATTCCACCCGGCTGCTCCCACAGCAGCCGAGATTATAGCTTTGCTGCTGTTAACAGGATCGGGATTGCTTGTGGGGTGGTTAGAGAATTAAGAGGACTGAAATTCTCCCTCCCGCCCCTGCACACATCCACCCGGAACAATCCTATCTGCTGCTCTCTTGGGCTATGATCCATGAACTATGATCTCCCGAACAGGAGAGATGCAAACATCCCCAGTTCTGCATACTCATACACGTGAGGTTTCTATGTGTGCGTGTGGATTAATATATGTGGACTATATGGATTAATTTGCTAGAGCACTTTGCTGCAGAAACCAGTACGGAATAGGGTGTTGCAGATTAAATCTTTGTAACATGTAATAGCAGGAGAAAAAATCAAGTGTCTTGTGGTATCTTAAGAACTGTCACATTTATTCTGGCATAAGCTTTTGGTGACAGTTCATCGCTGCCTGGAGGAACGCTGGGTCTTTTAGGATTTTTTGTCTTAAACACGCTTTGGATTGCACCTTGATGCCACAGGTCTCTAGATTCACTCCTGTGCGTAACTTTTCCTGTCTAAACGAAGTGGCAAAGATTACACCCTTTGTTTTCCCTGCAGTGGAGGAAAACTGTCGGTGCAAATGCTTAGGAGGAGAATGTAAGAGGGGAACACGAGGGGAGCTGCTTGGGAGCGAGGCTCGGCTTGAATGAAGGCGCTTCAGATGCATCGCTCTTCCTGCTTTCTCTCCTGTGAAACTTTGGAAAGGATGCAGAAGAAAAACAAACTTGCTTTCCTTTTTGGGTTGGTTCAGTTTTAATGAAAGCCTTAAGTGAAATCGGGGGGAATCCCTAGCAAGCAAGCAAGCAAGCGCGTGCAAGGAAGTGGTCGCGCATGGCCTTGTGCAACGTCTGGCCAAGACGCAGCGCCCCGCGAGAGCCCTGGCGCGAGCCCAGCGAGGAAAGCGAGGCCAGGGCCCTCCTCCCGTTTCCAGCCCCGCCGCGGAGCGCGACGCGCCCGGCAGCCTCCAGGGGGCGGTGGCGAGGGCGCGGCGCCGCGCGACTGTCCCTCGGCGGCCGCCGTAGCCGCGGCCTGGCGCGGACGCGCGGACTTCGCCCCGCGGGCGCCCGAGCGGGAGCGGCAGCGGGAGTGGGAGCAAGCCGAGCGGCGCCGTCCACCATGCCGTCGTCGGGCGGGAGCGCGATCCAGATCCCGAGCCGCCTGCCGCTGCTGCTGACGCCCGAGGCGGTGCTGCTGCCGGGCTCCACCATGCGCGCCAGCGTGGACTCGCCGCGGAACATGCAGCTGGTGCGGACGCGGCTGCTGAAGGGCACGTCGCTCAAGAGCACCATCCTCGGCGTCATCCCCGACACCGGCGACCCGGCCAGCGACCTCGAGCCGCTGCCGCCGCTCCACAGGTGGGCTCCCGCCGCCATGGCAACGGCCCCGGCCCCTCGCGGGCGCCGCCCACTCGCCCCGCTCGTCACGGCAGCGCCCCGCCCCGGCCCGCCCCCGTCGTCATGGCTACGGCGACCCCCGCTTAAAGGCGCCCCCCCCTTGCCGAAGCTGCCGTCGCTTGATTGCTAATGAATAATCCTTCGCATTAAATTCAAAAGTATCTGGCTTCATAATAGCCATTAAATACAGTTTGGTTTATTCGGGATTAATAAATTATTTAATAACTATGAAATTGTTTGTGATTGAATCGTTACTTAACTGTTGCGCGGTCTGGTATTTAATAAGTTATTGCTAACTTAATGAGGTTAAAGTCTTTTCTTTGGTGGGTACTAAATTACTTGTTTTTGACCAGTTCAAAGCATTATGCAATCCCCTGAATATCAGACCAGTTTTCCAAAGCAACAGGGTCATGGCCACCTCTCACTTCTGGCAGAGACCAGGTCTTCATGTTGTCAGGATAACCATCCTTTCCTGAGTCACAACCTGTTCCTAGGTTGCCATGACAACTGCTGCTTCCTCTCACCTGGGCAGACTATGTGTCCTGTTGTCATGGAAACTGGCTCTGCAAAATGCTATTTTTCCTCTGTCATAAACCCCTCCTATCACTGATTCTTGATTGTTTCCCCTTAAGTGACACCAGCATCTGGTCACAGTGATTGCATACCTGTTGCTATTACCTTTGCTGCACTTTATACACCTGTTCCCTTTTTTCTGTTTAGGGTTAGGGAGACATCCAATTTAAGGATGTGGTGACTTTGTCATATTAGGTTTGTTTCTTTTATATTTCCTGAATGCACTGCCAAAAAAGGCTTCTATTGACCAAGGTCGATATACATAATACACTATAGTCTGCAAGTTTTTCAAAAAAATTAAACGTAAGTGACAATCATTACCTTCATGGTTTAATAACTCGTTATTCACAATGTTTCATTGTAGCTAAGCTACACCCATTGCTAATATGGCTCATTTATTGGTTCCCATCTCAGCAGTATAATTCTAATAATCTTAATGATGTTACTTTTTCTGGACAGCTTTAGAACTGTACTTTTTGGAAATGAAACAAAATGAAATAATGTGGAAAAGTAAGTCATGTCCAAGTATCTTAGTGGCGCCTTTCTTTTTTCTAAGAATTCAGGACATCGATCTTACTTTTGTGTGGGCACGTGTGAATCTAGGCCATGTTCCAAAGAAGGGGCATTCACCTGCAAGGGAGAACTCTGTGTATAAGCAGGACACTGTTGGGTTTTGTCCAGTACCTCCGGTTGCTGAAGAGGCAAGTCTCTCATCATTTTAAAGGGCAGCTTGCCTTTTCAGCCCAGGAACCAGTATTAACCTGAAGATGAGTAATGATGTCTCCTGCGCACTACACACTCTCCCCTGCATTGCTGCTTTGGCTCTTTAGCCATGCAAGCATTCAGACCCCTGTTGCCAATTGCTGTAGCTCAGTGCAGAGGCCACGCTTTGTACCTGGAAGGTCAAAGCCCCACATCCCCACAAAAAGCCAGGAAAGTGCTCCTGTCTGAAACCCTGGATACCCAGTGCCAGGTGAACTGGACAGTGCCGAACTACGGTCTGACAAAATGTAAGGCAGCTTCCTGTATTTACTGGTATTCTCATTTCCTTGAGCAAAACCCCCAAAGCGAGCTATATTAGTTTCCTCAGAGTACTTAATTCCTGTTGGCACACTGCAGGTAACACAGATCTCTTTGGCACTTCCAGGATTGGCACTGCTGCCCTGGCCGTTCAGGTGGTTGGCAGCAACTGGCCGAAGCCGCATTATACTTTGCTGATCACAGGCCTCTGCAGATTCCAGATTTTGCAGCTGGTGAAGGAGAAGCCCTACCCTGTTGCTGATGTCGAACAGCTGGACCGGCTGGAACAATTTACGAACAAGTCTGCTTCTGATGAGGAACTTGGAGAGCTGTCAGAGCAGTTCTACAAATATGCAGTTCAGGTTAGGAGACTCGAAGTTGGAAATGCTGACCTATGTGCCCATTCTTGGGGTTAGGAGAAAGGACCTGTAGCCCAACGATTGCCTCTATTGGGTGTGTGCTTGAAAGCCCCGGGTTTAATCTCTGATATCTCCAGTTAAAAGGTCCTTGGGCAGCAAGAATGGAGACCATCTTTGCCTGAGACCACAGGGTTTTGTTTCCAGCAAGAGTACACAGAACTCAGCTAGAGTGCCCTTTCCCGACTTGGTACCCTCTAGATGAGTTGGACTCCAACTCACATCATTCCTGGCAAGTGTTCCTATTGGGCTGCTAGCTGGAGGGCTGATGAGAGTTGTAGGGCAACGCTTCCAAAAGACATCAGGATCGGGGAGCTGGGGCGAGAGTACACAAGGTTTGACCCTCAGCTTCTCGGCCTTCTAACGGCATAGTACCTTACAAATTATATTTCGGCTCCCATTCCTCTGATGGCCATAAATCTCCAGTGGGATCCCTCATGTGCCCATTTTGTCTTTTGCAAGCATCGTGGCTGCCCTGTAAAATGGCAATGTGCGACATGGACTGAATGACTTCTGCAACGTGTCCTTTCATTCATGTGCATTAATTTAACCCGGCTCACTATCCATAAATGAATGCTAAGCACTCACAGTATTCTATGCTGCAAACTCTCCCAGCACATACCTGTGTGTCTGACAGATCGCCAAAGAGGCTTTGGTCTCTTTATTTTGCTGATCCTTCTGGATTCTGTAATGGAGCCCCGAAGCAACCTACATACCCTATTTTGGGAAGTAGCTCCTCTCTGCCTGCTCAAACAGCTGGTGCTTGCCTGGGGGAATGGGAAGCTGATGCAGGCAGAAGGAACTCAGGGGGTCATTGCATCAGACTGAGTGGCGGGAACCCCCAAGAGCTCTTGAGTCAGTGCTAGCAAACTGCTCGATCCCAGGCACTCGTCCCTGTGCAGGTGGATTTCTGAAGGTTTGCCTGAAGGCAAATGGTTTTTGAGTAACCTTTTTAGAGTGTAACCTGCAGGAAATGACTACCTTTTTAGCTGGCTGATAGTAAGTCTTTTGTCCCCTGAGGAGTATTTTAAAAACCTTTATATAGATAAATAAAGAATTGTTTTAATGCTATTGGGGTAAGTGATTCCAAAGAATTCCAGTGCTAAAATGTGCTTTTTTTTTTCTTTCTTCACTGAAGCTGGTTGAGATGCTGGATATGTCAATCCCTGCAGTGGTTAAACTGAGGCGCCTGTTGGACAATCTGCCTAGGGAAGCATTGCCAGATATATTAACGTCAATCATCCGCACCAGCAACCAGGAGAAGCTTCAGGTACATTGTGCTAGCTCCAATTAGGTGGAACAAGGAGTTTTCCCGGTGCCAACCTCCAGCCTTTATTTCTGAATTTCACATCTGTCAAAGTGAGACAGTCACTCTACACTGGAAAAGAAATAAACACTTTGAGCCTTTAGCCGTATATACTGAACTCTCATAGCATGTATCCTGAGTGATAAAGCTATGTACTACCCCCATAACAAGGTTCTTTTATTCTAATTTGTTTTTTTGAATTTATTATTACATTCATATCCCTGGAAGGAACTCAGGGTGACTTACATAATTCTCATCCTTCCCATTTTATCCTAACAACAACCCTGTAAGGTAGGTCAGGCTGAGAGGCACTGACCGTCCCAGTCACTTGGCTCCATGTCCAAGTGGATCCCAGCTTTCCAGAGTCTCACTCGAGCTCTGTTAACTACTACACCACTCTGGCTTTCAGGTTGTGCCCTGAAAATCTGTTTTCTATTTTTCTTCCATGGAGGGACAGTGTAGTCATAACTGCTATAGATTCAGCAGCCAAAGAGCATTTTGGTTCAACATCTCTCTGTAGCTCCAGTCTGTTTTCTTTCCTCCCACTCTTCCAAAAACTCCCCAGTGCAAATTCTGTGTCGTTGTCACTGACTCTGTACATGTTTCCTGTACAGGAGCACATACATTTTCCAATAAAGCAAATGTAACGTGTGAGGTTGGGGCCTGGAATGCTCTAGAAACAGGAGAGTACAGTTTGATATCCACACTTTGGATGCAATCCTGTGCTCTGTAGGAGAGGAGTGTACGGACCGAAGGGTCTTGAGCAGCACCCCCAACCTGGTGACCTCTGGAGGTTTTGGATCATGTCTCCCAGGATTCTTAGCAGGTGGCCATGCTGGCTGGGACTGATGGGAACTGAAGTAAAAATAATCTGAAGGCCATCATGGCTGGTCGGTTGGACTTCCTCCACTGCCCAGCCAGTTGTTCCCATAAAAGCACAGAGAGAGGTCTGTCTGGAGAGGGTGGTACCTTGGCCTCAGAATATCTCGCAGCTTCTGTGGAAACCTCTGCAGCTGGTTCATCTCTAATAGTGGAGCTCTGATGTCAGAGCAGAGGAAAGGAGGCATACTGGGGAATTTGCTGAGAGGGAATTCTCCCAGTCCCCAGGCACGGCGGCAGATCGTTGGCAGCTGTGGAAATGATTGAATCCCCAGATCTTGGTTCGGGGGGAGGGCTGGTATTTGTAGCTCCCGTTCTAAAAAAATAGCCAGAGAAAACAGAAGCACCAGCACCAGGCCATTTCTGTCCTGCCAGCTCGAGCTTTGGCAGGGCTTTAGATGAGGTGGCTAGTCTGCCCTCAGAACTCCAGTCCAGCCCTGATAGGATGTCACTGTTCATATTTGTGCTTTTCTGTTAGATTTTAGATGCTGTCGGCTTGGAGGACCGATTCAAGATGACCATTCCGTTGCTTGTCAGACAGATCGAAGGTCTAAAGCTCCTTCAGAAAACTAGAAAGCACAAACAGGACGACGACAAAAGGGTATTCATAAAAAAGAGCATTAAAAAACAGGCACACATTATGTACTATATAATCTGCCCAGTTTCGTTATGGGAACATGCATTTAGATTGGGGAAAGGGTCCTTTTGTCAGTTTTAGGTTTTCTCCATTTTTATTCTAGGATATGATTTTTAGAAGGATCTATTTAAGCAAGGCAGACTTCATAAGCTAGCTGTAAACCTAGGTTCTATTTGTATTTTAACTATAGTTTGTTTGTTCACAAGCCAGATTTTAACAAGCCATATCATGGCTTAGCATTATGTACAAACCAGACCAGTGTCTTTGGGCTTCTGGTATTTGATAACACGGAATTATTACCCAATTCCTTTGTTGCATTTGATCACTCATGGAAAGCCGCTGCTGCTATTGTCGTGCCTTTATACTTTTTAGGTGGTTGCTATACGTCCCATTCGAAGGATTGCTCACATCCCAGGCTCTGCTGAAGATGAGGAAGACGATGAAGATCACGATGACATTGTTATCCTTGAAAAGAAAATCCGAGCCTCCAGTATGCCAGAACAAGCTCTAAAAGTTTGTGTAAAAGAAGTTAAGAGGTAGGCTATTTAGGTTCCTGAGTTGAAAGATTGCTGAAATCCTTTGTACAAATCAGATGTTCATATTGCCTGCTTTCTCACATTTCCGTGTTCAGCAGTACCACATTTCTTTCTTAATGGTTATCTGGATGAAGGAGGAAAAGCAGATAAAACATCTGGATGAAGATCTGCTGGGACAAAACCTGGGGGGTGAGACACATGGGAAACAATGAATTTGAAATGTGTGAAAGACGAGATGGGAAGTCGTGAAGGCCCTGTGTTCCTTTGTGTTATAGCGAAGCCAGGAATGAACAGCAAAAGGCTTGTCCTGGCTTCTGGTTTTTAAGACTGTGGTGAAGCATATGATAAGTGGGATTTCTGAGTACGAGAATTGCATTTGTGGAAAGAGTGGGAAGTTTTGTGGTGTACCCACCTATTATATTTATATCAAGTTTTCTATAAAATATAATGAAATATAAAGTGTTGGCAAAAGGTTTCCCATCCTGGTATGTAATGGAATCAAACCTGCTTAGCTTTAGGGGGATTTTATTTTATTTTATTCATATAAATTTATTTATTTATAACATGGTTATAAATTTATAAATGCAGATTGCTGCATCAGGGGCCTTTGGTCTGTAATCCTTGTTAGAAGCTTTATACCACAGTGACAAACTTATAGCCCAATATGATATTAGTCTAATATTGTAGCAAATAAACATATCAGGTGTTGTACTGTTACGCAACTTTTAATTTTGCACAAATATGTGAAGGCTTGGGATTGGGCTGTTAGTGGTCAGTCTTATTTATCCTTCCAGGTTAAAGAAGATGCCTCAGTCAATGCCAGAATATGCCTTAACCCGAAATTATTTGGAGCTGATGGTGGAGCTGCCATGGAGCAAAAGTACTAAAGGTAAAGGGAATCTCGCCCATTTTCATAGGCTGGGATTGCCAGTTGGCCAAAACCATTACAGAAATCCTGCACTTAAATACGGGGGTGTTACCAGGGGTGTTAAAGATTTTTGTGGTGACTTGAATGTGGAAATGTTTTAGCCTACTCTTTAAGTACATTGAATGCTTTGTCAACAGATCACCTGGATATCCGTGCAGCAAGAATTCTTCTGGACAATGACCATTATGCTATGGAGAAATTGAAGAAGAGAGTGCTGGAGTATTTGGCAGTCAGACAACTTAAGAACAACTTGAAAGGGCCCATCCTTTGCTTTGTGGGTCCCCCTGGGGTTGGAAAAACAAGTGTGGGGAGATCCGTAGCAAAGACGTTGGGGCGAGAATTTCACCGGATTGCCTTGGGTGGAGTGTGTGACCAATCGGACATCCGAGGGCACAGGTAACCTGACTTGTGACTTTCTTAACTAATAACTTACCAATGGTAACAGAGCATTTGGACTTGGTCAGATGCTCCTTTAAGTAGACTGATCCTAAGCTGTTCAGGGCTTTAGACATCGACACCCAACACTTTAAATTGGGCCTGCAAACTAATTGGCAACCAGTGCTGTTGATGGCCATCTGGAGGGGTCCACGCTGGCTTCTTTTACCTGGAAATGCTGAGAAGTTTGTGTGTCAGACCCTTCTCCGGCGGTGTGCTAGGAACGTTGTCGTTGCGTGCTGAAGTTCTGCATAGAGTCATGGTCGAAATATTCCAAGAGTCATAGATGGCAGAGAAAGGCCTCTAAATCACTCCAGGATTGTATTATCGGTGTGGATTTGATGGGACAGAAGAATTACTGCTGTGAAAAACAGACTCTTTTGTCCACTGCAGTGTATGTGTGGCTGGATCGATCCATAATGGACTATTTTAAGGGTGGACTTTTGGACTTTGGATGTTTTTGCTCTGGTCAGTTGGGTTAGGCAGTTAATTAGATTGCGGGGGGGGGGGGGCATGGCCAAAGTTAGGAATGAAGTTTGTTTGAAGACCCAAGCACCTGGAGACCTACTTTCAGTCCATTGCTTGTGGGCAGAATCGCAGAAACCTTGGGTTCTTTGTTTCTTCTTTGGAGAAGAAATTACATGTATGAGATAGGCTACTTGCGTGGGACTATGTTATGCACTTTCTTCTCATTTGTGGGCATGGAGAGCTCTTGGAGACTGAAAGTAAATTAAAATTAGTGCAAGTGATGTGGTAGCTGAAACTGAGTTCCTCCATAGCATGCACAAGAGGAGAATGCAAGTGAAAAAGTGCTTGTTCAGGCAGCTGGTCATTATGCTTACACAACTCTTCAAACATGTTTCTCAACTGGCACCTTCATGGGGAAAGCTGCAATTTGCCGGGTTCAGCAGAGATGACTAACCAAACTTAACCCAAGAGTTCCGTGTACAGACCTGGAGTGCTCCTGCGTGTGTGCTGTTTGCTCAGTTGAAGAAACTGTAGTTGATTAGTTAAACGCATTTAACAGATTAACTTCATTTTATATGCTTCTGTCTATGATAAGCTGACAGTATTGAAGGAAGGAAAACAATATTGCTTCGTTTCTTGCTTGCTGCAAGCATATAACAGGAAGTACCTGCTTGGAAGAGTCATTCCAGCCTCCTTGGAACTGCCATGGAGCAAAAGTACAAATGGCAAAGGGAATCTGACATGCTTTCATAGGCTGGGTTTGCCAATTGTCCAAAAACACTGCAGAAATCATGGGGGTTGCGGGAGCAAGAAGGTGCCTGCAATTTACAGTTTTTATAAGTACATATATTCAAAACAGTTAACTTACAGTTAATTGGAAAGGGTCTTTAATTTGATCTGTTTGTTGCAGGCAGCAACTGTATTAATATGAAGAGTTTTAGCTTAGAGTAGTCTTTCCCAGTACGATGCCCCTGAACTGTTTTGGATTCAGCTCTCATCAGCTCCAATCAGCAAAGCCAAAATGGGCAGGAGTGTTGGGAGTTGTAGTCCAAAACATCTGTAGGACAACAGGGTGGAGACACAGGGCTAGAGAATCAAGTGTGTCATCTGCAGCAACTGTGGGAGGAGCCCGTTTATTCACACACACACTCACACAAAAGAAGGTCATGGAAGGTGAGGCTGTTATATTTGTAGCAGAACTCGTGGAAGTAGAATATATTGTCAAGCATTGAGGTGAGAGTGATGAGAAAGATCAGACAAAAAGGAGTAGGAGACCACAGGTTATTTGATGGGGAAGGAACAGTGGTGGAAAACTGAGTAAGTTGTGCCTTCTGTTGGAATTGGTTGCACTAAGTGAAGAAAACGATTTGTTGAAGTTAACTGGTGCATTGTGATTAATGTTCCTGAAAATGCGTTGGAAAAGTGTAAATCAGACTGCGCACTTCCTACAAAGTCATATATGGAGGCCTGCTAGGAGAAGGCCAATGCCTGAATTTATGGTCTCTTGGGAAAGGAAGCAATGTGTTTGCAGAACAGGAAAAGGCAGATCTGGCCAAGTAAGGGAAAAGTGTTTCAGTCTTTCACTTGTAAGGAGCTTGTTCTGCTTACATTTGTTTCAGCCTTTGCTTGCATTTTTTGCCATGCCAACTCCTTTCCAAAGCTTGCGGATGTAACCACAGGTGATTGTGAATCGGCCCGGGTCTGGCTTGTTGGAACATTTTCATCGCGTCCAGGAACTATTATAATCACATTAACACAATAGCCAGCATTGTGTCTGAACAAGGCGGAGCAAAGTGTGTTTAAGGGGTGCGAGACTGTGCGTATTGTCTGATGGGGCTTCTCGTGGCATTCCTGTCCCCATGAACAGACACATCTTCCCTGTGCCAGGATAGTTCCGCTTAGGATTCAGCTAATGCAAGTAGAAGCCCCTTGTTAATGGGAAAGGCCAGCTATTGAGAAGGTGGGCTAGCACATGTGGAAATGCTGAGGGTAGTGCCCCCATGCGCAGCCTCATGGCCTTTCATTGCTCCTCCGTGCATCGATAATACCCGAACAGGTCTAATGTGGCCAAGCAGTGTAGCCTTTTGTTACTACTTGTGTTTGGTGAGAGAAGCACTTTGTGGACACTGAAATATACTTGGGCATTTTTATGTCTGTATGTGTTGGCCTTCACTGACCTGATACACTGCTGATGTGCTGGTCAAGCCGGGTGGGAATTCTGTGTGTCCGACGCATCTTGAAGGCATTACTTGGGAGAAGGCACAATATCCCCTAGTATGCCATGGAGGGAGCGGCTGCACGGTCCGCCTCAAGCAGCTGGTTTGCCGGTGTCACATCCCTGACACCTGGACTGTGTGATGCCCTGCTGGAGTGCCAGTGCCGGGGCAAAGCAGATGAACCTGGTGATGCGCCCTCCCCCGGCTGTTGAATATGCCTTTCCGAAACGAGGCTGGCCTGTTGCTGTTCGCATGGAAACCACTAGAGGTTGTTAAATGCTTTACGTTTAGGAGCCTTAAGCAGAACTTGCTTTTCTAGGGAGAGTGGCTATTTGGACTCCTGTATAAAGTACACTCGTTTCAGTAGAAGTTGGAGCAGTGTTTTGGAAGACGAAGACGATACAGGGAGACACACAGACACTGTGTGTGCGAGGGCTTCTGTCCCTTGCGGGGGCTTCCCATTGCTCCCCTTTCTCTGATGCTTCCCCCCATCTTCATGGGTTTCATTGAAGCCCACGTTCAAAATACCTTTGAATTCTAAGGGTAGCCCGTCAAACAAGGTGTAGGGTTGCTCCTTGCCTAATGATGGTGAGAGAGAGGCAGTAAAAACGGGGCCGGTAAGTCTGAAAACGTAACTACATAATCCCTTTTGGGTCAAAGGCTGCTTTTGTTTTTTCACTTCCGGCACAGCAAATCCAGCGGCAGTGGGATGCAGTGTGGGCTGGGCAGAAGGGCCGCACGGCACGTGTCGTCCACCCTGGAGCCACGACAGTCTGGATTCCGTGGCGATGCCACGCCTGTGCCGTCACGCCTCAATCTGAGCAGCCAAACAAAGCAACCCCTTTTAAGCTGTTCTGCCCCACCACCCTTTCCGCTTTTGTTGCGTGTCCCCGTCCTCCGCAGAGCTTACAGTGAGGACCACTTGTCTCCTCCTTTTTGCCTGTCAGATTCCCACCGGTCTGCCTGTCTGGTGTAGAGGTCAGGCTAGGGGCCTCCAAAGACCAGGAAATGATTCTCCCAAAATCTGGGATTTCTATCTGCGTGCTAGGTAGGATGAGGAATAAATTTCAGGTTAGTGTTTTGGTTAGTCCCTGGGCAGATCTAGGGACCTGGAGCTAGCCTAGGCTGGGTAGACAGAGAGAGCAGGCCACAAGAAAACTTTCAAGTGCTGTCTCTGGGCGAAGAGAGGGATTCTACTTGTGCACTGGGGCTAGAGTTGTCCTGGGTCCCTGTGTTTATCCAGCTGTTGTTCTCAGCTCTTTAAAGCCCAGAGGAAGGCTGGAAAGCCCCGCTTACTGCTTTGTCACAGGAACAATGGGGCTACATTACAGTCACTGCTCGTGTGTGCACACCTTCTTCTCTGGCACGAAAGGGTCACTGGCCCTTTAAGGGCAATGTGAGTGGGGCCAGCAGTGGGAGCCATAAGGGGGTCAGAGTGCCAGGTTCTCGCCAGGAGCAATCCAGTGGCAAACACCTCCGACCACATCCACCCCCTTTGTGTGTTGTTGCTTCCTCTTTGCTTTTGCCCTTTGGTGTGAGTGCATTTGGGTCTTTGCGGAGCTGGCGTTTTCGACAGGGTGTAGCTTGGTGGCTGCTGGAGAGGAAGCCTGACCTCGGAGCGGCCATGTCAACAAGGAAGCGAGAGCTCGTGGTGAGATGGGGTTGCAGGCAGCAGTTCCGTGAGAGTGCCGTCTTAATGAGAGCAAGCACTGGCCATGGAAGGGCAGCTCACGTGCCGAGCATTCGGCCTGCAAATGCATGTGCTTCCCTTTAGGGCTGTTAGGATCCACTAGCATTTCCCGTCCTGCAAATACAGTCAGCCTCCCAACACTGGACCCGAACTGACACTTTCTAGCTCTCCTTTAGGCCTTTTCTCAGCAGTTGCTTCCTGTGCATAAAAAAGCATCTGATTCGATTAAAGACCAAATGTTTTTTGGGGAAAAGAACAGGAAGCCGTTTCATATGTCACTGCATTGTGAATATATATTTGGTATATTCACCTGGGACTGTGTTGGACTCTTTGGAAGAAAGTAATTCGCTTTGAGCATCAATCACCTTAATTGGGAAGTGAAAATAAAATTGCTGTAGGGTTAACATATAGATTGACTCTGCTGTGTCTTTTTGTGCTCCCTCTACATATTTACCATATTTTCTTTATGAACACCAGAGTGGATATGATACCTTCCCCACCCTGCCCTTAGACCTCTCTTTTCCTGCACAGTAAAGTGATTCTATAAATCAGATTTTTGGGAAGAGGATTATTAATTAAAATTTTCTCCTGCCCATCCTCTGAGGAGCTCAAAGTGGGGTACATGGTTAACTCCCCTCTTTCCAGATGTTTCTCTTCACTACAATCTTGTGAGATAATTTACAGAGAGGGGGAGAAAGACTGGCTCAAGAAGAGCTTTTTGGTCTAGCAAGGACTTTGAACCCGGTCTTCCTGGTTGAAGTCCAACACAGTATCCACTGACTCACATTGACTTCCCAGGAATGCAACGCAGTCAGAGCTAAGCACTTTGAAGTCTCATGGGTTCTTTTCAGTGGGACAAATTGAAGGGAGTAAGTTCCCTTGAAACTTCATGGGCTGAAGTGATCTGCAGATAACTTCCATTTGGTCCTTAGGAACCTAGGAAGCTGCCTTAGATTGAGCTGGACCCTTTGTATTGTCAGCACTGATTGGCAGTAGCTCTTCAGCTTCCAAATAAGAGGCTTTCCAAGCCCTTGCTTGAGATGCAGGAGATCAAACCAGGGAATTTTTCACATGCCAAACCTCTGCTGTCACTGAGGAACGGCCCTTTCCAGCCCATTGTTCGCCTCCTGTACCCTTCTTTGTAAATCCCCTCAGCTGCACCTAGTCATCTAACACAAAGGCTCTGTGGGAAAGGGGAAATTGCTGGATAATGCAGCTTCTTGACAGTATCCCCTTCCTTGTCTTCATTTCACAGGACGTATTATTTGCTGGTTTCCCTTTGTTCAGTGTCAGCTTCAGGTGAACTTCCAGACAGCATACGCGTTAGTGTTTCATCTCCTACAGGCGAGCCTTCTGGGACCCTAAGCCAAAATCAGTGGGGGTCAAATGACTATCACCGTTGCCCTGGTTGCATTTCATTGCCATTTGACCCCATTGTTTTCTCCCACCATCCCAAATTCACAAGCTTGTGCCATGGCAAATCCCCAAGGGCCCGTTTCAGCCAGGAAATCTGAACCAAACTAGTGTGCTTTTCAGGTAACTTTCCGATGACTAGTACTGCTTGAAGCAGCACTGCTGGAAAAGCTGCACGCGCGTGAGTATGTGCTGCGGCTCTCCAGTAGTGGGAGATTTCAGAGGAATAAGAAGATCATTACGTCACTGGCTCCGCAATCTAATTTTGGTCATTAGCATCGTTCAGTTCAAAGGGATTTTTCTTCCTTGTACAGAAGCAGAAACTATAAATGATTTTGCTCTGAGCGTAGAAAGTTTCTCACATTTTATACTTTTAAATCTTACAAGCTTATTAAATCCCTTCTGTTTATTTTGGAGAGACAGTGGAAATCTTCGAGCCTGGATATGGTCTGGATGAACTGTTATTTTTTAGCTGGGAAGAAGCCCAACATAAAGATTCCAAGTAAAAGAGATCTTGTGGTTGTAAACAGCAAAGTCCATTCTGGGCCAGCAGAAAGAAATTGAAATCCTTATTGCCATGCCAGTGTTCAGGACTGAAAATTGTGCAGCGCTACAAAATATTTCCAGCCAGTAGCCTGCAAGCTTCCCAGCCATTGAATGGGCTGCTCTGATGGACATGGAATCTTCCTACACATCATTGCTCTTGAGAAAGAAAAGAATGTAGGACAACACTATGAGGAGACCACTGCTTGAGGTGTAGCCCCCTTTAATTGGAGGAGGAGGAGGAGATTTTCCCATCATGCTGAGTGCTGAACTTTGCCTGCCTGCTCCATGGCTCAGAGTGACCTCCTTTGGTGATCGCTGCCAATCCACTTGGTGCGGGGAAAGGAAAGATAGATAGGCTGGTTGGCTTGCTAAGGAAGAAGAGAAGTGGCCTGTTTGGTAGAGCTGTGTGTGATCCATATACTGATAACACTTGTCTCACCTAAACCTTTGGATGGCTGCCCACAGGGGTTTATGTTGATCTAAAAAGCATGGCAGACAAACCTCAATTTCCTCGATGCAGGAGGAGGAGGAGGTGAGAATGCAGAGCCCAGGGAGTGGTGACACTTGTTCTAAGCACAAGCTGCAGCTTGACTCAGAGTTGGCCCAGGTTTTTCGTTTTATTTTGCATCTGAGTACAGAAAGAACACCCATGTAGCACCTTCTGTTGGCATTCAGGAATGCATGCATGTTGGAATGGACAATTTCCACAGTGATGAAAGAGGAGAAAGCTAGCCTAGCTTGACCAGTGAACCTATTCTGTGTCGGAAATTTTCATGTGTCTGATCAAATAGCCGTTCATTTTAATCAGGTGCTTGGAAAAGTGCTATGTGGCTGAGACTGCTCTATTTAGGTGAATCCCTACCTTTGAGAGCTCCAGTGTGGTACCCACAGACACCTTTTTTTGGTGCCCACCATGGCCCATACCCCTCCTGATTTTAATTTTGATTATTTTAACTGCTGGACTAATATACTTCAAATCTAAGCACTGCCCTCTAGTAATATCTTCTTTAAAACCACTTACAGAAGAGTGGTTTTGTGCTTTGGAGCTCCGGCCCTGTCTCCAAGCATTGATTCTTGGGCAACGTACTTTCCTTTTAATTTTGCCAGATTTTCGTCAGGAAAATGAGTGCTTCCATTTGTCCCACCTTGGCAGCCATTTTGTGAACGTGCACACCCTCCATCAGCAAGCGCATGCGCGCGTGCACATGCACACCATGGCAGTCATTTTGTAAGAATACACACTACATTCTTTCAAAATCCCTGTGGACCAAAGAGGTTGGGGACCCCTGAACTCTTTAGCTCTTGTGTGTCTGTGTTTCCGTATTTGCCTCTTTCAGTTATGTTGCATTCCATATTTCAGTCCTCTCACTTCTTCCCCACAAGGCGCACCTATGTTGGCAGCATGCCTGGACGAATCATCAATGGCTTGAAGACCGTTGGTGTTAACAATCCGGTGTTCCTGCTGGATGAGGTTGACAAACTTGGAAAGAGCCTGCAGGGGGATCCAGCGGCTGCTCTGCTGGAGGTAAGGAATGGGATGAGTTTCTTCCTTGTTATATTTTCCAATTACTGTTTCAAATTGACTGTTTCATGCTAGGTGTGATGCACTTGAGTATCATTTTCTCATCAGACCGTAGGACTTTCAGCAGTGGAAATAATATTGAAGAAGAGAAGGCCAATTCTCTTGATGTATCCCCTTCTTCATCCATTGCCTTGAACATTATGGTTTTTGATGCTTCAAAGCATCAGAAGATCCCTCTTGGAGGGGACCAAAAGTCCATCTGGCCTACAACAACCAAGCATCAGTAGTTCTCTTCCAGTGTTTGTCACCAACATCCAGAATTCATAAAATTATTAGATTTATAATTTGAGAGCTTTATGCTTCTGTATAAGGGATGGGCAAACTTCTTGCATCCAGGGGTATATGCAGTGGTGGGTGGGTGCAGTGATTCGTGTCTGAGTTCAGTAGGGCCTTACCATGAAGTGGGGCAGCTCCAAGGAAGGGAAAGGCTGTGGGGAGTCGGGCACCTATCTGAGGTTGGTCTTTCGCTCAGTAATCAAATTTAGCGGGGAGCTGGTATTGGACTCACACCGGGTCTGCGAGTTTGAGATGATGTTGGAACTCTTTTGCACCATATTGAAATGGGTGGCTATTTTGGATCCTAAGCATAAGGAAGCAAAAAACACAAGGGCAGCTGCTGAATCCTTAGACTGATTACCAAGGGACTAGTTGACATTCTCAGGGAAAGGCATTTTTATTTATAACCCACAACAGCAGGAAGGAAGTGGGGGAGAGCAGTCCAGCTACATTCGTAGAATAGCGAGTAGTTCATACTGGAAATTGCTATGTGAAGGAATTTGTGCACCAAGTAGCGCAAAGTCCAATGATTATATCATCTTAGTATGGTGATAAAGTATTGCTTTTCAGTGCGGCTGAAAACCAGAGACGGCCGTCTGTGCATAACCTGGATTTGCCACTTAACTAAGGGTGGTCGTAGTTAGACGTAAATGTGATTTTACAAGGTTTAAACTGTTTAAATATTGATTGTAGTTAGATTTGGTTAGATCACAGTGTGGTGCTTAAAATTACAGTGTACTTGGCCTTGAGGTTACCTCATTCGGAGTGAGGACGTTGCCTTCAGGTGAACAGTCTTTATACAGGAGGCAGCCCTGTGGTAATTTCTTTCATCCTTAAAACTTCCTGGGGGAGATTGAAATGATTTAAGCATGGGGTGGGGAATCTCAGGCCCAGATCCTGATATAGCCCATCAGAGTTCCCCAAAAGGCCATACCCCTTTCGTGTGCCCCCCAATCACTCAAGCATAATTTCTTTCTGCATTCTAAAACGCTGAAATGCCTTTCTTAAGGCTAAGTTACGGCAGTAAGAGCTTTAAGCTAAAATTTGCTGTAAGCGTTAAATGTTCTTTTTTTTTTTTTTTTAGAACTTTTGGCCCCACACAATAACAGAATGCAGCCCCTGAAAGCTACTCTGAAATCGGATTCTCCCTTCAGGCTGACAAAGGTTCTCTACCTGTGGGCTATGCACTTCCTTACCTGTTGCAGAAGTATTTCCCCTTTGGGAACGATGCATGCATTGAATGCTTAGGCATAAGCCTTCAGATAGAGGTTTGCACCGGCTCTGCCTAGGGTGGATAATTCAAGATGCTGTGACAAAGCCGGATGGGCCTTTTAAATCAAATTCTTGGGGTACAGCCCACTTGGCAGTAAACAGCTATTTCCTGCCACAGACACCTGGAAGGATGAGCCAGAGTGTCTTGTGTTACATACCTTGAGAGTCCAAACAGCGGAGCCGAGGTGCCTTTGTCACTTGAGCAAAGCAGAATGTCTTCCTATTTCCAGTTACTGTGTCAACAAGGGAACATTTGTTCTATATTTAGATGACCCCAGTTGAAGGTTGGAATAGACAGAATAAGATCCAAGAGCTTCTCATTGGAGTGCGTTGGTAGATACCAAAATCAGGCAAACTGCTAAATGTTCACAGAAATTATTCTACACGTTATGGTAACAGACGTTTTGGATGGACATTGGCTTATTTTTATTCTCACTTTTGTAGGTTCTTTTCCCCTGATTCTTTGCATGGTTTTCAGGTCCTGTTAAATTTTATTTTTTTTTTAGTTTTGCAATAGACACAGAGTTTGTCCGTTGAGGGGCAGATTAAAAACAAAAGAAGACCTTTTTCGTCGTGACACCCTTTTAATGAGATGCCCTCCCCAAGAAGGCTTGCCTGGGGTCTACATTGGTGCCAGATGAAAAAACCTTCTCTTTTCTCCCAGGCATTTCGATGTTTAGATATTATGGCCGCTCTTATATTTCTGTATTTTATTACTTTTTAGTGCCATTTTCAGACATGGCTTCCCATTTTAAAATGTTCTCAGTGTACTACAAAATAATATGGGATTAAAAGCAGGACAGCATTTAGATAAAGTAATGGTTGGGGAAAGCCAGGGTGAACCAACAGGTTTTGAGTAACCATCAAGAGCACGTGATTCTCGGTGTGTCTTGCGATGCCATTGCTCGGTTGCCTGGAGCTGACACTCTGTGACTCAGGTAGCAAGGCCTCCCGTGAAGATCCCATTGGCCTTTTGGATCTATTTAGGGGCTCACCGTCTTTCAGTGTCTTTATATTTAATTATTATTCCTGTGCTGTTTGTTGCTTTGTCCTTGCAACTGTTTGTCATCCGCCCAGAGAATATTTCTTATTGGGTGCATTAAAGATATAACAAAGCAGTAATACATAATTTGTGCTAGATAGACAGTTGGGATTTTCTCTGTTTGGATATTTATATCCTACACTTTCTATATCAAGGACAAAGTAGCTAGCAAGTGTTTCATTAAAAAAAAGATTAGTTAAAACAAAACAAAACAAAAATGACTGCCCACTGCTTTCAGCTACTTGATGGCCCTGCAGGTGATTTGGCTCACAGTTCCCATCAGCCTAGGCAGCATGGCCAGTGGTGAGACATGATGGGAATTGTTAGGCCACATCCAAAGAGCCTCCAGTTGTGTACTCCTGCATTGGATAAAAAGTGGTAAATAACTAGCAGGGATAAAAAGTGCCATGATCCAAACCAGGAGCCCACAAAACAATGTTGTTTTACCAAGTACTGGACCATCAAAGAAGGTCTATCCAGACACGTCGTGCAAACAATCCCAAAGTCCCCGATCACAGCAAAGGATGCCTGCCCACTGCCAGTGGTAGGATACCGATCGGGCTCTCCCCTGAGAACTGGGATGTGTGAGAAAGGAACTCTTTAAATATCCTGGGTCTAAATTGTTCAGGACGTCGACGATAATGGCCAAAACTCAGAACTGGGCACAAATTGAGGGCCAGTGAAGGGAGTGCAAAGCAGGGTCATGTGACCTCACCCACCCACCCACCCAGCTCAGGTCAACAATTTTGCTGCCCCATTTAGCACCAAGTTAAGCCTCCACATACTTTATTTCAAAGGCACCTTCCCACAGAGCATGGTGGGGTTTGCCTCCCAGCTTGCTGCATTTCATACTCATGAATATCCACTCCCTGTGAGTGGGTATTTGCTGTATTTTCTTTTGCGTGATCACTGGATGCTACATGGGGCTCCTCCGCGCTGCAGAGCAACTGCATGCATGTCAGCTGCTGTCGCCTTGGCACACGGTACCCGGCTGGCTCCTAGTCCCAGATCAAAGGGGCAGGTGCAAGGCCGTGTCTTCCCAGCATGATCTCAGTACAGCAGCCGAGAATGGAGTTCACTCTCTTGCTTGGACACCGTGAATGGGGGGAAAAAACCATTCTGCTCTTCCATACCATTATTATGCGCGACTGTCCCTTTGATGTATTGGATCTGCCTTAGATGTGGGAGGGTAGAATTCTCCACCACTTAAATGTGCTGTCATCGTCTTGTAAAATTAGACCTCTGCAAGCGTCTAGCTAAGTGAGTCAGGCTTTTGCATGTGGCCTGCTTGCCTTGTTTTTAGCACAAATTGCCCGGAATTGGTCTTCTTCTGAATGTTTATCTGGATGCAGGGCCTGGTATAGAGAGGGTTGTGCAACACTCTCAAAGGCATGCAGAAATTAGAGAGCCTGCATCTTGCCAAATGCAGCTGCAGCTACAGACATGCTGGAACTTCGCTTCGGTAGAATCACACCCACTAATTACATCTGTTATTTCTAAGTACATTAATGACAAGATTTTTATTTTCCGTGCATTGAATGTTCCTTTTGTACCACAGCCCTGTTTCTTCAAATCAAAGGGTTTGAAAGTTCTTCTGGGATTTACTTGATCGGTGCAGATTTCTTTCTGGAAAGCTGCCTTGCTTTTTAGAAGCAAATATTATTTGGGAGACAGCTTAAGATGACTGTCGTTAATCCCCATAAAGTCAGGCTGTTTACTTCATTCAGCAGGGCTCTGTTTATTCCTCTGGGAAAAGTTAGTTTTCACCTGCTACTCTAGCAGATGTTTCTGGTAGCATTGCTGAAGAGCAAAGGAGAGATTCCGAATAACTGGGAAGCACGGTGGCGCACCCTCGAGATCAGGGCCGGCTCTACCACCGGGCAGAGTGAGGAAGTTTCCTTGGTTGGCAGAGGTGGCACAAAGGAGGTGCTGGAAGACAGAGTTGTGGGTTCTGCTCACCCACTCCGCTGGCTTGCTGCCTTTAGGTGCACCACAGCCAGTGCTGAAGAAATATCCCACTGGCAATTCGGCCATCCTTTGTCCACTGGCTCAAACAGCGAAAGGTCTTGGGCTGGACCTGTTCAAAATGGAGAAAGTAACAATGCTTTGGTACACATTTTACATTTGATTCGAAGTGTTCCTCTTGCTAAGTGTTATATTTTACTGAGGTAGACATAAGCATTTATAGAAATCAGTTCCATGATTGTGATACCTGAAGCATGGAATTCTTGGAGTTGACCTACATGTTAACCAGAATTAAATGCTGGGTGGAGGCAGAAGAATTCTGGGCTGTTCCATTCCATTGAGCCTCGTCCCATGCAGTATTGCGTTGCAATTCCCAGACTGCCAGAAAAGCAGGTGTATAGTTGGAATGGCTCACATACTGAATTTCTGTTAACAAGACTGTGTTGTTTGTGCTGCAGCTGACTCCCTTGACTGTCCCTCAGTCTGGAAGCTGCACTGCTGAACAATCTGCTAATTATTCTCAAGGTGCAACAAAATTCCATCCAGGCGTCCATTAGAGGCTACAATTGGTAGACCAGTGCTGAGACATGCCACAAATTAAATAGGGAAAGGACTTGCACCATCACTTGCCAGCTAGTCCCGGGCTCCTGAATGATTTGCCGAGTGAGCATTTGAAACGAGGGCCCTATCTGGGTGGTCACAGCTCCTGTGTTCACCTTGAAGCACCCCAGGAATTGGCATCGCGTGTCCATTTCAATTTAGCCTTCGTTAGCATCCCATTACTGCAGCAGCCGTGGCAATTCTGCTTGGTGGCTGCTTGACAAGGAATTAAGTACAGGGCGGGTGCTTGGTGTGTAAATGCTTGTATCAGTGGCATTTGCTCATCCGATAATGGATGGTAAATTACCCCACTGTTTCCTTCTTGATGGCCTCAGCAGAAAGCTCCACCGACAGCCACTCAACTGGAATAAGAGATAGTGATGGGATTGCACACCACCTTGCTGTGTGTGTCCAAAGAAAGCTGCTTGCCTGTCGCGTAGTCTAATTCCCCTCCCACTCTTGACGTTCCTATGAACCTATTTAAAAGAGTGGGTGGCGGTGGTGGTGGTGCTGTTTTAAGATTATTAACATTTGGACCAGAGTGTTGCTCATCCCCTTCTCCAATCACTTGGGTTCCATCGTCCTCCTCTCTTACCTGTTGTCCCCTCTCACCTGTTGTCCCCTCTCACCACGTGATATGGGAGCAAACTTGTGATACTTACCTCCACCACCGGAGCACAAACTCGGTAGTTTCTTTTCTGCCTTCCTCTCAGTTCTCCCCCTTACTCTCTGCCGCGGCAGATGATCATAATGAATACTGATCGTAAGAGATCCAGAGATTGCTGTGATACAGTGTGCATTGATGTTGCAGACTACAACCATCCGAAGCACTCCAGTGAGAAATTCAGGAAGCAGTGAGGAATCCGAGGCGTGCTTGGAGGCAATTACTGGTGTCCACCCGTGGGCAGCTCAGTGGTCGTCTCCGCGTCTGGCGTGCGACATTCCGGCCCTGCAGACTGTCACTCACATGGCCATCTAAGGACACTGTCAGTTTCGGCCACATGGAGTTGCACAATTCTTCCTGCTTCTTTGATGTCTTCTTAGATGCATGAGGATATACAGCACTGTGGGAACAAAAGCAGCAGTGGGGACCAAGGGTGGGGGCACAGAAGCAACGGCGGGGCTGTGTGTGATTTGTGGGTTGCGTATTGCCCAACCCGGCACTAAACCATGGTTTCTCAATAGTGGCATGCTTCCTTTTTCTTTAATTAAGAATAGCATCTGCTTCTCTAACGTAATTAAGCTATAGCACCTATAGCTCTTGTTTATGGAGAATATTATACGTGGGATTTCTGTACTTCAGGGTATAATTTTAGATTCTTTCTTAAGAACTGCTCTTCATAGTGTACTTGGTACCTTTGGCCAAACATATGAGAACTTGCTGAACATGCTTGAGTGCTTTATACTTAGCTTTAAAAAAACAGACTTGACCCCTAATACAAATGTGCAGACATAAGAGTGCCAGCTACAACCCTGGAATCTTTTTTTCTTCTTCCAGATTTCTTTGAAAGTGTGCATGCCAGGGGTTTACTGGGCAAAAAACCTGGGGTCCCTGCAGAAGTGTTTATGGGCATAAGCAATGAGTTGTGAATGACACACAGGCATGTGACACACTGTTTTAACGCTCATGCTTTCAAACAAGACTATCCAGCCATTAACCTCAGCCCTGCAAATCAGGAATCCTATTTTAACTTTGGAATGTGCATGCCCCTCTTTCTCTGGGCTTGTTGATGCCACACAAGAAGCTTGCTTGAGTAGTTGGGGGACAAAGAAAGCTGCCTCATGGTCTGTCCATCTGGGCTCAGGCTCGGGCTGCAGCCCAATGCTTCTGGAAGGCGCCAGGTTCAGAAAAAGACCGGCTTTCTGTGATGGCAGAACACTTTCCGGGCACTAGCCAGCTGGGCTGCTAATCCAAGGTCCCTGATGCATGTAGGGCATATACTCTGCTTCTGACGCCCGGCCCTTCCCCAGGTCATTTCTTCTTTCTAAGGATCCTGGGAATTGTAGTTCAGGGGCTGAAGCTTAGGGACATCTGGCAGGGAATGTTTTAGCTTCTTCCCCAACTGCATTTCTTACGACCTTTGAGTATAGGGCAAAAGTGAGCAGTCCTGCCAGCTAAACTAGTGGGGAACCTTGGTTAGTCTGTTCTGTACTGAGATATCTCTTGCCTTTCTTTCCCACCCTGGTCTTTCCGATCTTGTTTGCTGTGATCTCATCAGTGGGACCCTCTGGTATTCCCCACCCACTTCTTGAAGATGAGCACTTTTTTAAAAATCTGTTTATAAAAAGAGCCTATATTTCTTGTCACCCTTTTGAAACTTTCTAAAATGCTTAGTAGATTTCTATCTTAATGTCTTCATAAAGGAATTTGATTGCATCTGTGTAGCTGTACCTTCACGTATACTTAATGAAAGGAGCTAAATGCGCAAGATGAACAATTCTCCCCAACACGCTTCTTCTTCTTCTTCTTTTTTCTGCTTTTAAGGTCTTGGATCCTGAGCAAAACCACAGCTTCACAGACCATTATTTGAATGTAGCCTTTGACTTGTCCCAAGTCCTTTTCATCGCCACTGCCAACACTACCGCCACCATCCCACCTGCTTTGCTGGACAGAATGGAGATCATTCAGGTCCCAGGTAAGAGAGAACTGACCTTTGGGCGGGCGGGTTGCCGAGAACCTGAGCGTGCAGAAGCAGCTTCATCCCAGGGTTCGCGAGAGCCATCTCCCTTGCTGTGGCCTCCAGCAGTGGGCAGGCAGCGCAGGCAGGTCCAGAGAAGCTCACAAATTCATTTCATGCCATTTATGACTTTTCTATACCACCCAGCAGCCCAAACTCTGGACAGTTCGAACAGCATGGAGGATGGGCTGCCGTACAAGACCCAAGTTCAGTCCCCAGCATCTCCGGTTTCGAACAAGTTTCAGCAGCTCTGGGGGTCAGGACTTCTTTCAGCCTGAGGGTGGGAGTTTCTTTGCAGAAAACGAGTGGAGGGAGGGGCCAGAGGCAAAAGGCTGGGCCCAGAAGTACCAGCCTGCTTTTGCTTCGAAGTCTTCCTTCCAGTAAATAGGATTTATTTGAAATGAAACCGTGACATGATTGGTGGCCAGGGGAAAGGGAAGGGGTGTGGCCATTTGGGGGACCACTGGAGGGCCAGGCAGGGACCCCAGGTGGAATTGTTCAAAGCCCCTCTTGTCAATTACGTGCCACGTTTTGAAGGATACACACAAGAGGAGAAGATAGAAATCGCACACCGGCATTTGATCCCAAAGCAGTTGGAGCAACATGGACTGACTCCCCAGCAGCTTCAGATTCCTCAGGAAGCAACCCTGGCAATCATCACCCGGTAATATTGATTCACTTGGCTTTTTGCTGCATTTTAGTTCTGTAGCACATTTTTGGAGCTGTCTACAAAATCAGTAATTTAAGAAGTGAAACGTTTCAGGACATTGGAAGAATCATTGGGAAAAACACTTGAAAGGGGCAGGATGAGTGCTGTGAGATGTCAGAGCATCTAAGACTGTGCACAAGCACAGAATAGAATTGAGGTCTTTGTTTTTTAACCTAAGGTTCTAGTCCTTAAGGCTGCAAAAACAGGCCTGAAAGCATTCTGAGCAGTGCCAACTGAACTCTCAGAAGTTGAGCTGCGGGGCAGGTTGCTGAAGTGTTAAGATAGTGGAAGGAAAAACTAAATCCTGAAAAGATGTTTATCTATCTATCTATCTATCTATCTATCTATCTATCTATCTATTTTACTATTCATTGTAAGCCACCCTGAAATACTCTGTAGGGGATGGGATAGAAAAGCTTTGAATGAATGAATGAATGAATGAATGAATGAATGAATGAATGAATAAGATGGAGCAAAACCTTAGCTGCAAATTAAAGGGAAGAACAGTCTTGAAACCATCAGGAAAGGTAAGTTGGGTCTGCACATAGTTCCTTGGAGTATTAAGGCTGTCTCAGAGTGCTCTGAATAGATAGCAACATTCTTCCAGGCTTCACTGGTACATGAGCACAGTTCATCTCTCTTTCCTTCTTGAGCTGGTCCTGAGATGTAGCTGCTACTCCCTTGCAGCTGTCGAAGCGCTTTGCATGTATCTTTTTGCATTTAAATGACTGGAAGTCTGCTTGCCAAACTTGGAGTTCTCTTCTGTTGAAGTTAATAACACCTGTAAGGCAAATCCAAGGTTTCCAGCTCATGTCTATTTAGACCCTCATCAAAAGGGCAACCTTGGCTGCTTCTTTGTGCTAGATACACCCGGGAGGCAGGAGTTCGCTCTTTGGATCGCAAATTTGGAGCCATTTGCCGAGCGGTTGCCGTGAAAGTGGCAGAAGGCCAGCACAAGGAGACAAAGCCAGATCGCTCCGAAGCGACAGAAGGAGGAGGTTTGTGTGCCTTTTATATGGCTCTGCCCGTTGCCAGCTCTCTCTGGCTTGGCAGGTTGCCTAAGAAGGGGCGGGGGGGGCAAGGCCATATTTGAGTTTGTAGATTTGCATATGTTTTGTCCTTGACTGAAATAAATAGGCCGAGATTAGTTGCCGGTGTTCCTCCTCATAAGGAGCGGCAGTTTAATCTGCTTGCGTGTCCCGGGAGAACATCTTCACCGAGCTTGTGGCGGAGGGAGGCCGTTCCAGCAGGGCTAATGGCTAGGCCTTTGCTTTGGCCCGTGAAGCCGCTGATGGCTTGGGGCTCCCGTACACGGAGAGCTGCTGCCATCCTAGTTCCTGTTATGGCAGCAACTGTAAAGGACAGGCCCTCGGTGGGGTGTCCCCGAGGCTGCCCTGCCGTGACTGAGCGCCCTCCGCCCAGATACACCACAAAGCCCGGCAGTTGTCCTCTGCTGGGGACAGGGAAACTCAGGAGAGCGTGGACTGGGGCCAGGGACCGTTGTGCTCAAGCCGGGCTTGCCTGGCCCGGCCGTGTGCCTGCTGGGTTCCAGTGCTAACCCTGTAACACGGGGGGCAGAGCATCGTTGAACCCAAGGGCTGGATTCCATCTCAGAGAAGCTGCGGTGGGTACATTCCGGTGGTGAGCAGGGCCGAAGGCAAAAGGGCTGTGGAAAATACTCCTACATTTTGGCTTGCTCTCTGTAAGTCCGTCATACATTCAGCCTTTTAGAATGGAGGACACAACTGCAGAAATCCAGAAAACCACCAGACTGTTGGCGGTCAGGGAGGGGAGGGGAACAGGGGAAGGGGTTGGCCCTGGAAGGCTGGACTGGGACTACAGGTGGGCCAAATGTGACCCACAGACCTTCAGTTCAAGCAGGTAATGCAAGAAGCGACCTCGAGCAAAGTCACCAAATAATCGCTTCTAATTGTACGACAGCAAAGATCTCTGCATAGAGGAATGGAAGCAACGAGGAGCAATGATGATATTTACAGAACTTAATATCTGATATTTATACCTGTGGGCATGTCCTGCTGCTAAGATCTTTGCATTCAGAAACTCTCTTGCATGGAAGCACCAATATGCCTTCATTAAGAATCTGACATGCATGCCAGAAATATCCCAGGTACCCAATACAGCTGGGGATTCAAGTTTCACTGATAATTTAGGTGCTTCTATATTGACTGGCAGGTTTAACATTACTAACAAGCAGTAGTTTTTTGTCTGGATGAATGCAGAAAGTGATTTTAGGAGAATTGTTCTGTCTGCCAGATGGCGGTTTAGAGGAATGTTTTTATGGGGGATTTGTGTAACATGGGAGAACCTTAAGCCCCTGAATGTTTACCTCATGTTTAAGTTATTGATATAGTGATTGTTAGTGATAGGACTTAAGCCAATATATATATATTTCTCAGACTGAGGAACCAGATAGCGTGTGTGTGTGTGTGTGTGAGAGAGAGAGAGTGAGCGAGCGGGTGGGGGGGGAATCTTTGCACATTTATAGGAAGAACTAGTTTTATCAGAATAGCTCTCAGTTTACTGTTTAATCTTCTATCGAATTGTTACACCTACATGTTAAAAATAATATACTCTTTATATACTATGTGGAAAGTGAGCTAAAGTGTTGACATCTTTCCTCATCTTTCCCTTTACTGCTGTGCCAAAAAATGTGGTTGAGAATGTATTTTAGAAGTCACTTTTCTCGGAGGTGTACACACACGCTTAGGATGTGATAACTTGGGCATGGACGCAGAGAAGTATGTGTGAATATCTTGGCTGGGATTTAGTTAAAAAATGCTAGTTCCATAAGCCCAAAGCCACTTTGGGCTTGTATGTGTCAAAGCCACATGGCTAATTTGCTTTCTGGAATGAACTAAGCAGCTTGCTGGCAACTGCAGCTGTATGCTAAAATATGCTGGTACGTTTGGTATTCCCGGCCTCACCCTTTCTGATTTTGGCCCCATCCACAACTAGAATGTGGCCCCTGAAAGCTTCTGCAGAGGCACCGGGGAGAGAGGAGAGATGAGCAGGAGGGTGGATTGTCCCTTCCCCATCCACACGACAGGGTCTCACCCTCTCCTCCACAGAACCTAGCAGGATGTGTGCATGCAATGTGCTAAACCCCAGGCAGGGTGGACAGTTTCCTGCCGTTCTGTTTGTCGCTGAGAGTGGAAGAGCAGTAACTGATTCGGTAGTGCTAGGGAAACACCCTGAAACATCGCTGCTGCATGTAGGACTGGTGATCTGTTTTTTATTTACTTAATAACCCCCACAACATGCTCAGACTTCTCTGGCCAGCTGTGGGACAGCTTTTTTTGTTTTCTCGTTTTACTAGGGAGACAGTTTGGAAAGCTTTTGACTTCACATGACCATCGCCACTTGTTTACTATTAGATGCAGAACAAAGGGGAGGCTGTGTTCAGCATTCCAGCGAATCCAGGGAAGAAGTTATTTATCGTGTTTAAAATTAGAGCTGGAAATCGCTGCCAGCTAGGAAAGTAATCGCAAGCTGAATGCTTCCAAATGGTGTCAAACTCAAGGTTTTTTCGGGCCGTTTGGAGGAAGCCCAGAAGCACTAAGCTGTGAACAGTTGTCTTTGTGTGGCCCAGCTTGGCAGCAGGCAGAACAGTACATGAGAAAAGTGAGCCCGACAAAACAGGGACGGGGGCTTTCTCTTCGGCCCACGCCAGCATTGGAATGGTGCAGCCATGTTCCAGAAAAGCATGGTGTGGGGGTTGTTTGTAGGAAAGAGGGAGAAGGCAGGCATGTGCTGCCACGCAGACAAGCCGCAATTGTTCAGCGCTGTCGTAAGTTGGGCTGTCCCGGAGGACCTCGTGCAGGCTTGCCTGGCCGCTCCCCAGGTGGTGGCCCACCAGCCGTGTACAGTGGCTTGCCAGCTCCTATTAGTTTCTTCACTGCAGCTGGGCAGCAGCCAGGCCTCAGGGGTGCATCGGGCACTTCCCCCCGAGTGGCCTGTCCTTCATAGCTGGTGGAAACGTTCATCTCCTACCAGTTGTGAAGCGTGTTATGAGTGGAGCCGCCTGGAGCCAGGGGTCAGACTAGATGGCCTGGGAGGCCCCTCCTGGCTTGCTCTGTTTCTACATTTCTATCTTGGGTTGAATGCAGGATGAAGTTGCAGGAACTTTCTCCAGTGGCTTACATCAAGGGTGCTAAACCAGCAGGCCACAGGTGGCCCATGAAGCCACAGGGGCTCTGTCAAGGGGTTCCCCTGCCAATGTGTACACTATGTTTTTCCAATTTGTCTTTACTTGTTTATAAAAAATACAGCTGAGAAGCCTGATGTTTCATTCCAGGCCAGATTGCCTTGTGAATGGTACACAGGGCTTAATAAGTGACATTGCCGTATTCCTGTGCTTCCCACCCCCGTCAGCTGTGGGCAAGTACAGGACTGTTTCAGCTAAAGCATGTGGAGTTTTATGGGCAGAGTGCAGAATCTCAGAATGTATATTTAATTCATTTGTTTGCATAGCAAGTGTGAGGCTTTAAAACACCTGGCCTTTTAACAAAAAAGAAGTCAGTCTCTCTCACCTTACTTTTTAATTTTATCATGGTTTCCCCTTCCAAAGAGCCCAGAGTTCAGCTTCAGTTCTGCAGGAGCAAGAAGAAAAATGCAAATCCCAAGGTGATGGGGCTGTAGGCAGCTGTAAGCTTTGAATAAAGCGGCACGATGGTTATCACACTTAAGGGAATGTCAGTAAAAATGTAGCACTTGGACGAGGCCCCAGATGTGTGGAACCTTCTTGTTCTCTGCCACAAATTCTTCTGTTTTTCTTACACCAAAATCCAGAGGCAAAGTTCTGTTGTGCAAGACTTGTCAAATGGTGGTAGAGCTAGTTGGAGGCCCAGCTTGAGTGGATTGCATCCCAAATTCTCTACAAAAAGGGGCAATGCCTACAGCCAGTCTTCAGCTTCTACCCCACACATATACTTGTGCATTTGGGAGTGGGTGCAACGGGGGTTGCTCCGGGAACCCATCCCGCACTAGTTCAGACTGTTATCACGTATTCTGACTGACAGTAGCTTCTCAGGGACCTCTGTGTCCCATCTTCGTCCTTTTGAGTGGAGATGCCATGGACTGAAGTGGGAACTTCTGGGTTCAAAAGAAAGGTTATGGAGCTTCTCCTCCCATATAGTGTGAGTCATTCTCTTCCCCAAGAAGAAAAAGATTTTGTTGTTGTCCATTCTTTATACTGAGTCAATGGGTTCACATTCTAGTCCATCTATCCCTAAAGGCCAATCACTGAAATAAGCATTTAACACATTCAGTCTTTCTTGTTTTTAAGAGGGGGGTTTAAAAAAACTTTTTAGGAAGGGGTGCATAGTTAGGTATGAAAAGTGGCCTTAGAAAAGTTGTTGCCGGAAACGTTTCCCAGCAGCACTAAGAGCAGCCTGAAAGCATCTTGGTGTGGCTCCATTCAAGTAGGCCTGGTCCTAGCAAGAGGGTTATGTGGATGTTATTTGGGGGAGAAAAGGTGGAATGGAAAAGCATCAAGCCTCTTGATGCTTTTCATTCTGCCACATCACTTGCTCCAGAAGACAACTCCAGCTGAATAATCATGCTGGATTCCTAAATCTGGCATTAATAATGTGTTATCCCTGGACAACAGGGAACTCCTGGAGACTTGGTGCCCACCATATCCAGCCCTTCCTGATTTTCCATTGTTGGAAAATGTATGTCTTTTTCTCAGTGACAGCTGTCATCATTTCGAAAGGACTCTAGCTGGTGTCATCTTTATCTTCCATGAATACAATTGAGGCAATGTGGACCCAGCAGCATCAAGAAGTAAAATGGTGGAAGGATGGCTGTTAGCGTTTTGCTTTGTAACGGTCCCAGCTGCCTGAAAAACGGGATCCTTGGTGGTGGTCCCAGAAATGGGGTCTAGGAGAGGTTGCAGTGGCCAGTGCGGGGCATGAAAAAAAGCCAGAGGTGCAAAAGGATGGCAGCACAGACTTCGGGGGAGTTTGGGGGTTAGGAAATGCATTCCTGCTGAGATAGTGTGGACCCCTGCTTCTACTTTTAAATGTTTATGCATGCTAAATAGGATTATCCATCTGTTGAAAAGACAGTCGTTTGGGGAGACTGGGTGGATATCATTTATTCAGATAATAGTGCGTAAAATTGTAAACAGCTTGGAGAAAACTCTGCAGTGGTATATGTGAAGTTGCTATATCCTCATCGCTTGCCATGTGGAAATACCGTCACACATGTGAGTCTGTGCGTTGGGCCCAGTGCTAATAACTGCACACACTAAGGATTCTAAGAAATCGCTGCCATTACTGCAGCATGTGAACCTGTTAAATTGCTGATTCTTCAGATCAGCAGAGCTCCATCAGTGGCTACCAGGAGCCTTGTGACTGCCAGCTAGTTAGTAGAGCCATTCATTGGCAGAACTTTCATTACCACACAATTATAAAACCCTTAACATCATATAGATTGGGACACTTTGGACAACCATATCTTGGCTTAATCATGAACAAGGTAGACATGTCATGAGTGGAACCGGCTGGAGCCGGGGGTCAGACTAGATGTTTCTATGTTTCTAAACCAGCCTTTCAGCAGCCCATTCACAGTGAAAGCAAACAAATGAGGAAGTCTCCCCTTAATTTCCCATTTCAACTGAACAGCTTTGGAACAAGCCAGGATAAACCATGGTTTGAAGCTGGCATAATCTTGGCTTCTTCCAAAACTGTTAAATACATTTCGTCAAGTTTGACTGAAATGAAAAACTATAGTTAATTGATTCCCCCTCCCCTTTTTTAATTGTCCATATGCAAATCCAAGAGGTTCATTTATATCTCAGCTGAATGTCATCATTGTCCCAGAGTTGATGCTAGAATGTTTTTCATGTGCCAATCTAAAGTGACCTTATTGTTTCAAAAAACAACTTAGAGAGCAGAGAGCATATCACAGAAGAAACAAAACCAGATCCCATCAGTGACACGTCTGACCTGGCTCTGCCACCTGAAATGCCCATTTTAATTGACTTCCATGCCTTGAAAGACATCCTTGGACCACCAATGTATGAACTGGAGGTAACTGCTTTTTATATATTCACCAGTTGTGTTTCTTCTTGCTCACTTTGTAGCTTGTCTGGATGAGTGCTTGCTTTTTTATTTTCTGAGCATCAGGCTGAGAAGGGAGGCTTGAGAAAGAGTGGCCCAGGGCACAAAAACCTACCGCCTATTTGCATTGTTAAATTCAGATTGGTCCAAAACTGTGAACCTGCACAACCATTGGCACATATTAGGAGCCACCTTATGTGTGTTTAGATAGGAAAAGGACTCCCTCCAGAGTCATAGGACCTCCTTCTGCCTAAACATGCTTCAGATTGCGTCCTTAGACAAAGCTATGGCATCAAGACTCAAACAGAAACTGTGGCCAAGATATCTGTTCTACTGCTAAACAGAGTTGTGGAACCATATCAAGCAGTTTGGCAGTGGATGAACACTTGGTACTGAATGCTGCCACATCCATTACGTTCTCATGTTCTTGAATCTGTTTCAAAGACTGTCTCCTTTCCCTCACTGACTATCGGGATGTGATAAGCACATGCACATAAGAGCTGTGCTTGGATCTGACCAAGGGTCTACCTCTTCTCTCACTGACCCAGAGAAAGGCAGAGGGAAAAGGAGACGGCCCCTCCTATGTTTGGGGTTGGCCCTCCCCAGCACTGGTTTTGTCAGATTATCTCCAAGGGAAAGTCGCCCTCCATGCAGAGAGGCCTGTTAGAGAGTCAGCTGACCGCACGCAGACTGCTTTGGAAATGAAGGCCACTCTGATGATGATGGAGACAAACTAGGGAGCCCTCTTGTACTGTAGCTTTGTAGATATGGATCAGTAACAACCTCATCCACCAAAGTGTGTATCTAATTCCAGAGACAGATAAAGACTTTGGGGTGAACATCAGATCTCCAGTGGAGAGATCTATGTACCTGAACCAGTGATAAGTTTTTCTTTGAGATTTTGTAACCAATTCGAGCTGGACACAGTCTGAAAGTGGCCAGTAACCAAGATTACAGGATAGGAGTCTTGGCTTGAAATGGTTTCTTTATTCTTAGCAGCCCTTGTCCTTCTCTGTGCAGTGCAGAATACAGCCTCCATCTCAGTGAAAAACATTCCAGATTGGTTCCATTTGTTTTTCTTTTCTGCAGCCTGCAGTGGGCCTCTCGCTCCCCCTTTCCCCTTAGAGCTGGGAGCGTCACCTCTGACCTTCACTCTTACCATCAATAACTAGCTGGAAATCTAGACCCTGTAAAGGCAATTCGCATGTCGGCACTCAGCCTGGAGAGAAATTGAAAACCTAAAGTAATTGAATGGATTGGTCTTCCAAAAGGGAAGACTGGTTTTCAAATGAATTTTTAAAAAATAAGTCTGCAATCTTATGAGCAGAATTGCTTTGTGAAACCATTCTAAAACAGAAACTTGCTCTTTCGGGATGGCAAGCAATGATGCATGCTAGAGAAGTCTATGTCACTTAGTAGAATTTTGAAATATGGTGCTTGTCTGAGAAGAAGGCAGAACATGTTTAAATCAAGATGATCAGCAGCAAAAGCAAATTAAAAGATTGAAACATCAAGGGGAATGGAAAGATCTTTTTTCCTTCTAAAAAGACAAAAAGCTTGGTGCTAGCCTTGCATCTCTGGGGCAAGTTCCACAATTGAGACACCATCACAGAAAAGATGGATGTGATACAGCGCAGCTGAGCACTTTGACTGATTTTAGTATGATGAGATAGTCTCACGCCTTAATTTTCCCATTCGGTCAGTGAGACTGGCAAGTGCTGAAGTTTGGATGGATTATGGCATGTGTGGAAGTTCGATGAGGACTGTCTTTCAGATGTGTTGCTTTGTAGCAGGTTAAGCACTGTTTATAAAGGGCAAACTTCCATTGCTTGGGAAAACAGACGGAGCAGGGTAGATTTGGGCTGCCCCATCAGACTTACAAAGCATGACAAACTGTTTCCCTCCCAGTGTCAGAAAGCTTTCATTCATTTATTATTATGACAAAATCCATCAGTACATTTTCTGTTTTAGGAAACACCCAGTTTAGGCTTTTCCTATCCACCCATCCATCTTAGGAAACTTTCCTCCAAGTATATATCCACCCTTCTCAGTTGCAGCTGTCTATGGTTTTCTTGGCCTGATTTAGGAAAGTATATACATTTAATGTGATATAAATTTAATGTGCCGTGTATAAAGTTCATGTTAAAAAGAAGTAACATTTCACTTGAAGCACTTCTTGCTTTTCCCCCAGGGCGGGGTTCTGAAAATGATCCACAGTGCAAATATTATTCCTTTGTCCAGTAATACACCACTGGAAAGGATGAAGACTGAAGCCTGGATTTCTTTTTGTAATTCATTGATACTCACTTACTTGATTTCTACAGCACCCATCAACCAAGATAAACAATGCCTGGGGTTTTTAAACTAATTCTTGGCATCTGACAACACCTGTTTAACAAATTTCTTTTTGGAAAATGGCATCTGGAGTGTGTTTTCATTTACAAATGGCTGAAATAGATTTGTCACCTGGGCCTGTTGTTAAACTGGTAACGGGGCATTCATTTCTGAATCAGAGCAAGGCTCTTTCCCCGCTGCCCAAGTTGCCTAACGGATGCCGTTTCCGTTAAATGCTTTGCAACACTTTCTGTTGGAGAGAAGCAAAATACGTCAGCATTCCTGAAATCATTCTCCTCCAGCTATGTTCGGTGAACCAGTGGCTCTTGGAAGTACAGTAGCCATGAATGAGGACTGCGTCTGGTAACTTCTCATGAGATTAATGTCCCGCCAAGCTCTGCACGTTCGTTTTCATTCTTCGTCACAGCAGTTGACATGAGATTGGTCATTTACTGCTCTCTAGAAAAAGGGGAAGAGGTTGGTGGCCAATTTTCCAAGTCCTTTTCTGCAAGAACACAGTGAAGTGGCACAGTGAAAATGAGCCTCCCAGATCACATGGTCCAGCTTCTGGCCCATCCTGTGAACCAGGGAATTTCTCAGATGCATCTTTCGGAAACCCACTTGGGCCTTAGCATTGATCCAAAATTAGCAGGGACTGCTGCACTGGTTGTGAGATTATAATTATTCCGAAAGCCTGGTTCAGAGCCTGTCGGTGTGGTTTGGCAGTACTGCTTTGTGCTTGAGACTGTAGAGCGGGCTCATAGCTCCTTTCCGTGGGAAATGTGTTATCTTTTATTTGTTTTCAGGTGTCTGAGCGGCTGAATCAACCAGGTGTAGCAATTGGCTTGGCTTGGACTCCCTTAGGTGGGGAGATCATGTTTGTCGAAGCGAGCCGCATGGATGGGGAAGGCCAGCTGACTCTGACTGGGCAGCTGGGTGATGTCATGAAGGAGTCGGCGCATCTTGCCATCAGCTGGCTGCGCAGCAATGCAAAGAAATACCAGCTGACAAATGGTACGTATGGAAAGACACAAGGAGAGGAAGCAGCTGTGAGCCCCAAGTATGCATAAAAAGGGGTCGTTGGACGCTGCCGCTTTTTCTCGCCTGCCTCTGATTACGGAAGCTCAGTCCACTGAGCCAAGGGTACATCCTTTGTAGATTCCTAAGATGCTCATTCCACTGGCAGTAAGTCCCACTGAACTCAGTGGGTCCCATTCCTGTATGGATATGCATAAGATTGTGCTAGAAGAACATGTTGGAAAACTCAAGAAGCACACGCATCAGTGCTAGCCATTCATAGGTCATTCATAGGTCTGTCAACCCGCTTAAAGAATTCAGGCAGAGAAAGCCAGTGAGGAAGGGAAAGATTCCCTGAAGGTGTTACTCATCACCTTCACACCAAAGTGGGTTTTTTTCCTGGTTCCTTCCCGGTGAAACCAACAGGAGGAAAGTTGAGTAACTACAACAGTTCCTGGCTAACACAGTTCCTGGCTGTTTGGGCCTCACTTGGAGAAACAAATGGGCATGCGGATCCATGGCCTCCTCTGACATGCCCCTTTCTTCCTGGCGGCCTTCCCGCCTTGGTACTGAGAAGGCCTGCAAACTTTTCTCTCTGACCCAGAAAGGAACATCAGCATCATCCTTTGGGCCTTCAAGCATGGGCTCTCTAAGTCTAGCCTGCCTAATCTTGGAAGCTAAGCAGGGTCGGGCCTGGTTGAAATCTGGATGGTTGACTGAAAATGTTAGAACTGCCCAGAGAGCTTTGGCTATGGGCAGTATAGAAATGTAATAATAGTAATACCTGCATGCATTTTCCTATAAATTAAGCCAATTGTTTTGAGATAAAGTGTACGTGTTGTTTTCAGGTAACACATGTATCTCTGCAGCACACATCATCAGTCATTCAGGATGCACTTTCTCTTTTGTGCACCACTTTTGGGCCTTTATCAATTTGTAGTACTTGCAATTAAAAACCCCATTTTTAGGACTCGGCTAGCCAATTAAATGGGACAGATTTCTAGTCAAGCTGTTCACAATCAAATGATTGACAAATTGTATAAGAGCATTTGTACTACCATTCAACTACTTCATCTGGGGATTTTTTTTCTTGAGACTTAAAGAGGAGATAGTACATTGAGGTGCAGGTGTTTTCTTTCTTCACTTTCTGCCACCCCCACCCCACCCCCTTTGCTGGCATAAATCTTCTTTCAAACGCATTGCTGCCAAATGGAACCCGAGTTAGGCATTCATGTCCTCCAGTGGCGCGGTGTGTTTGTCTGTTTATTTATTTATTTATTTAGAGAACAAAGACCAGTAACACCACAGGTTTGAAATTTCCACACTGAAGGCCCCCCTCCCCATTTTTCTTTCTTAAAGCTTCTGGAAGTTTTGATCTCCTTGACAACACAGACATCCATCTGCACTTCCCAGCTGGAGCTGTCACAAAAGATGGACCATCTGCTGGTGTTACCATAGTAACCTGCCTTGCCTCACTTTTCAGTGGGCGGCTCGTGCGTTCAGATGTAGCCATGACTGGAGAAATTACACTAAGAGGCCTTGTTCTCCCAGTGAGTATTGTTTGGAGATAATGATATTGTTAAAGCTTTCTCCTTCCCCACCCATCAATACCAACTTCAATTCCATCTTTATTCTAAGCCTACCTACCCAGGTCTGTTACTTTTCATTCCTAGGCATTCTTCTGTAGCCTTCCAGCATAGTTAGCAGAATTCTGCAAAACTGATGCTGAAGTTGTGCTTTATTTTTAATATATTTGTGTGGGGCTGAGGAAGAACCTGCATCGCGTTAGAGGACACTAGTAATCCGCTGCAGATGACATTTCCAAGAGAACAGAAGAACACAGTGTAGTTATTTCTTGTGGTTAATTTGTCAGATGCTGCCTTAATTGGAAAACGACGGCTGCATCATTACTTTGTTCTCTGGGGGCTACTGAAGGAAGAATTCTTTACCAGATACAATTGGTTTCCCTTCTTCCACTTCCATCTCAGTGACAACTAGGAATATCCCAGATCTTCATAACCATAGCTGTTGAGGATTGGATGTGTTGATGATGAATGTCTCTGCCTAAAATGAGAACATGTCACATTTATTGAAAAGCTGGGGGGCAGGAGAGGAGGTTGAGATTCTCTTAGTGATCAGAGTGCAGCGTACAGAGTGCAGGTTCAACATTTAACCGGCTGGTGCCTTGCTGTGCATTGGAGATGCATCTTGGGAGAACAGAGGAACACCTCCTTGTTGGCAGACAAATGCCTGTTTCTTTCTGTTGCTTTTTGATCATTTTGGTACAAAGGGTTGGTTTACGGGTCTAATCTGCAGACCTGTGCCCTCTGTGACTCATGCAACTGGGCATGATCCTCTAGCCCCAAGTACTCATGTGTGGCAAAGCACCTTGCATGGCCTAAATATGTTACCCAGCTACCTTGTGAAAAGCATAGTGAAGGTTTGCAGAAGCCCAGGCCTGGGTTTGACCCTTTCTTCCAACCCCCAGTTGTTGATGGTTTCCCCATTCTGGAAGGTTGCAGTGCTTCTCCAAAGACCGAATTACTGACAGTACAAATGTCAGTGCTTATGCTGTTGGCATTTTGCCTTTTGCCCCACCCATCACTTGAATATGCCCCTTACAAAGCTGCTCCAAAACGAAAATCAGCCTTCTGGGTAAGAGGTTGTGTACCCCAGCTTGGTGCATTAACCTGCCTGCTTGTAATTTTGAGGGGGTTTCTCTTGCTCAAAGCCTTTTGCAGAACAGTCATTTCAAAGGGTCCCTTGGAGAAGGAACATAGTTCAGAACATGAAGATTCAGAAAGTCTCCGGTTCAGTCCACAGCATTTCTGGTTAAAAGAATTAAGGCGATAGAAAAGACCTCTAGGGAGCTGCTTCCAGATGGGATGGACAATAGGTGACTTGCTGTGTTTTTAATGAACAAATCTATGTATTCTTACTGCCTGTTAATAACAGGATGTCAAGCGGTTGTACTACTTTTCTAGGGAGGTTTCTCGAAAGTACATTTATAATGCAAAGAAATGTATTCATTTGTTGCTGGAAATCTAGGTATCTCAAAATAGGGGTTCCTTGTGGGGAATCTTACATTATCCTTACCCAGAATTATGTATTGCTGTCAGAAAGCATGATTCCAGCTCGCCAACACCATTGCGTGTCAAAGTGCTGCTTGGCGCATGGATAGCAAGCGCATGGCGTTGCAACTGGAGCTTTGTCCTGATCTCAGGGCAAAATCTGAAGATGTTCCTGGTGAGTTTAAGCCCTTTCCAGAACTGGACCTTGAGCTAAAACTGATGACAAGATTTTTCTGCCTTTTGTTGGTCAGTTTCAGATCTCTCCCAAATCCTTGGCTTGCAGGCATTAGTATTCTTTTCATAAGCCAGAATAAATGGGGTGGGGGAACAAATATGTTCAGTACCTTTAGGGAGCTTGGCAAGGAATCTCGTGGATGCTGCTTTGAGTGCAATGGGGGAAGGTGGAGTATGTGTCATACAATACATGCCTCTGAGCATTGTGTGTGGTTTTCCCTCATACCTGGTTACATTTCCTGTTTTTTTCCCCAAAATTTGCACCTGGAAATGCAGGTCATTATTCATTTGATGTGTCCATTTAGTTCATTGACTTTTTTCACTGTTTGCCACCCCCGGTTGCCTTGTAACTCTGTGAAGAGGCATCTCACTCAAATCTTATTGCTTCCCCGCTGCCCTTATTCTATTCTCTGCGCTTAACAGGTGGGAGGAATTAAGGACAAAGTCCTAGCAGCACACAGAGCTGGTCTGAAGAGAATTATCATTCCTCAAAGAAATGAGAAGGATCTTGAGGAGATTGCAGCAAATGTACGGCAAGATCTGAATTTTGTGATGACAAGCTGCCTGGATGAAGTTCTTAACGCAGCTTTTGATGGGGGATTTTCAGCGAAGACCAGACTTGATCACTTCAACAGTAAACTCTAAGCAGATTGACTGAACTTGTTCAAGGAGCAAAATACAAAGCCGATGTTCATCTAGCGGACTGTAAAAATGTTAGAGAGCATCAAATGGTAGAACTGGAATACTGATATTGGCCATCTGATTTATTGCTTCTGTTTCTTTTAAGGGGGAAAGGACTATTCCTTTTCTGGGACTATTACAAAGCTGCTGCACATTCTTCTTACTGGTCCTTGCATGCATGAGTGGGAAGCAGTTTGCCAAGATAAATATGAATACTAAGCTCTTAATGATAGTTATTCCCCAGTGCTATTAAGGAGCAGACGTGCACAGGAACAGAATAGTAATATCCAATCACGTGCACCTCTATGACACCTCTCATCTGTTTAAATTTTATGTGGGTCTGAGATTTGTTTTTTAAACAGCCTGATGTGAATGTTGAGATTTAGCTTGCTTGAATATCAGGGCTGCAGTTACATTGTCATTGTCGCCAAGGCCGTCTTGGTGATTTATTGTTTTTTATCCTAAAGAAGGGTACACAAATGAACTAGTGCAGGCTTTGCACAGAAGTAGTTGAGTGAGGGCCCTTAGGTTTTGGGGCTTTATCCCTCCAAGCAGAATTAGGGTTGGAGCCCTAAGAGATGGTAGTATCAGCTACTTCCTTCCAACAAGGGCAATCTGAAAACATCTTGTAGTGCAGGGAAACATCATTCATGCTGGGATATGAAAGATCCAGAGACCATTGCCAAGTGTCCAGGATTAGGGAATAGCAGGTTATACGCCAGTGGGAAATAGAACTTGCTACTTCCATGCTATAAGCAGATCTGGCTGATTTGATGTAATGCTGTATAGGTTCCAAATAAAATACTCATTCTATTATAAAAGCGGTTGTTTGCCAAAAAGTTGTAAATATTGCAAACACCAAAAGAAAAAAAATATTGAGTCTAGCCCACTAGAGAATGCATTCTCTTGTATACCAAGAAAAGGAATGGGAAGGGAACATACATGGATAGCCTCAAGATGCCAACTGGCCAACAGGCACAGCTGAGTATGGGTTTGGTAATGAAGCGAAGGGTGTTTGGTGCATGTAGGTGACGTGTCACACAGAAGACAAGTGAGGTTCCTGCAGATGAACTAGCAAATGTTGCCCTGGGTGTTCTCCAAGGAAATCCATTTGTTCCCACAAGATACGCTATCCCGGGCCATAGATCTCAGTGCCTGTAAAGAGCAGTTATTTTTGTAAGCCTTCCTAAGCTCAGCAACTTTTCACTAACTCTTCCACTGAAGGGTTTTTGTGGTTATAGCCACCATTAAAGGCACACACACCAAAAAAGAAAACTCACCAGAAACAATAGCAATACTTTTGGCTATTGACTTGGCCCCAGTAAAGCTGTTGAATTCAATGAAGCTTTAGGTATGTGACTAGTCCTTTCAGTGGGTATACCCTAAGGATGATTAAGTCCAGATCCAGCTCCCAGTTTCAAGTTTTACACAGCCTCATCATGCTGCGTGGAAGGTGCCTTTTAAGAGCTTTACCAGGTGCCCACTGGTGTGACAAGGCATAAGTAAAGCGTAAAGCTTTTGCCCTCTTCGGGTAAGCGATTCCCATGATCAGCCGCAATGTCGCGCAAGATGCCACTGCTGCTGTTCATGAAATACAGGTTGAACGTATGCATCAAGAACATCAGGCTACATAACAAACAACGTATGGCTGTCTTTTGCCATCAGGGTGCCAGTACCTGAGTATCTGAAAGGTAGAGCTGAGCCCAGTACCCAGCACTGGTTACATTTATTTACATGACTAGACTTCACAAAAATTACATGTGGGGCCTTTTTTAAACAGGACTCACACACTGCAGCCACCTAGGAAGCTTTATAATGTTGGATAACTCTCCACTGGATTTTATTGTTCTTTCAGCTGTTGTGTCCCTTCCTCCCCGCACCAACTGCACAAGTGTGTTCTGATCACAAATTGCAGAGGGCTTCCCGAGTCAGAACCTCATCACACTAGGTGGCATTTAATCAATGCAAGATCACAAGCAATGCTGGTGGGGTCTTTGCGCTTCAGCAATCCGACACACCCACTGTTTTGTCTGCATACTGACACCTACAGAAAGATGTCCCAGCTTGCACAACTAGATATATTTAAGTAGGCCAGCTGCAATTCCTTTCGCCCACTCTCCAAACAAGCTTTTGAAATTTTTGTGCACGCAAGTGAGTCTGTTAACATTTGGTGACATCCACCTATCTAGCGCTTCTCTTTAAAATGAGTTTACAGACTCACTGGGAAAATGTAACACAAATAATTACAGTTTATGCATTTATTTGGAAGTGAGTACCACTGAATTCAGTGGGATTGCTGCTGCAGGGCTGTCATGAAATAGACTCAAAATAGTAAAAGCTATTCCACAGTGCAACCATGGAATAACGCTCCATCATCGATATTCCACCATCTAGGTCAGGAATGGGCAATTTCAGAATTCAGGGGCCAATTCTACCCTGCCCTCACTGGCAGAATTGCTGTGTGTCGCATGTGCCATTTTCCTTTAAAGGCATGCAGAGATTGTTCCTTGCAAGTACTGTTTTCAACACAATTGCTGCTGTGCCAAACTTGGCAATGGTGAGGAAGGAGTGCCAGAAAAAGGAGGGGGGCTATTGTCTACCTACCCCATCTAACATGAACTCCTTTCCTCAAATTATTCAAGTGGGACCTGCAACAAAATTGGCACAGTGTATCCACATTGAGAGAAATGCATCCGTTCTGGGAATCTGCCAGTTGAGAGGGGCTCAAGAAAATAGGGCAATTCATCCCCCACTTGTTTTCACTTTGCCACTCAGAGTGAACATTTTGGGGCAACTGATCCTGCACACTGAGTCTCATTAGGCAGTGTTTTGTTCCCTCAGTGTTAAGTTTTCTTCTTATTTTGCAAACCTTGGAGCTCCTCTAAGCTTGATACCCCCTCTTGTTTCCCAGTGTCCTAATTTTGGCTCCAATCTTGCCAGCGTTCACTCTCTGAATGCGAAGTTAGCAGGAGCGATGATCAGTTATGGAGCTATGCCTTGCCTTTTTGAAAATACACAAGGAGCTGACAGTCTAAAAAAAAAATCCTCAGTAACAAACTATTTAAAAAATTACAAGTATCAGAACAACACAACTAGAAAAATATTCTTAAACATTCTTAAAAATCTGCTGGAATGGAATACATTTTTGAAGTTGAGTCAAAGGCAGAGGAAGCCATGTGTTCCTTTGGGAGATGCCATTGCAAAAGAGATTCTGGTATTTGCCAAACAAAATTGATTTTAAAGGAAAGCAGCACCTAGAATACTGACTTTTAAGGCAGCAGGTAGATTCAAAGGAATTAAGACAGTCCTGAATTTCCTTTTATCCAAACAGATATCAAGCACTTAGGTTTCCCTACTGCCTCCTACTTCCTGGAATACAACTCCCATACTTCCCAATACATACAGCAGTCTAATACACCTGGTGACTGCCAGGTTAGGAGAGGCTGTCCTTCGAGGAAAAGTAGGTTTAACTTCCCAGTTGCCTACTACCCTTCAGGCACCAGTAATTAAACATTTCCAGAATATGTCCTCTCTAGCCTATTGTCCCATGTGTACGTACATACATACCCTTTCCTGTTCTTGAACCCTGCACTATTTTTCCTTGCCGCTGGACAATTCTCTCCTAGTTCAAACGAAAAGCCTGATTCTGCAGCTGACCTCCCTCTTCCACTTGTGCCTTGTGGGATCTCATGGATCCCTAACTCACACTGGAGGAAGGCAAGCTTCTATCCTGACTGGAAAGGGTGGATAACACAAGGTTGCTGGAATGGGAAGTCACATTGCCTGAAGTTTTATACCAAAAAGCTTCCCAGATGTGACTGGGCAAGGCAGAAAATGATGACTGGGCAGGGGAAGATGACAAGCTCCCCTTCCAATAGGCTTGGCAGCTGCCCTACCAAAACATCATTGCATCAGACCTCAAAGCAAGGGGCTGAAGGTAGCCTCCACCTCACATCCAGATGTACGGAAAACTAGTTAAAACTGTTTCATGGGTTTATGTAAGGTAGGATGAAACCTAGCAGGGCATAGTCCTTAAGAACAGGTGTTTCATTATGCTTTTTGATATTTTTTTTCAAAGCACACTTGCAACGATTCTACAGTATACAAAACCAAGATGGAAGCTGAACGACAAATTAAAGACTTAAAGAAAGGCGGTGGGGAGGGGCAGGAAGAACCCAGCAGGAAGCTAAGAATACTTTGAAAGAAGCTGAGGCAGATGGAAATAAAAAAGAACCTGCTGGCCCAGCCAAGGTAGTCTAAGCCCCTGTTGCTCCCTCACTGCCGCCTATGACAGAGGATTCTCCTCGGCTTCAGGCTGGTTGGTGCACCACCTGGACTACACTGAATTGCCAGGCTGGCTACATACCTTCCACTTCAGAAGCTCTCCGTGACAGCAGGGAGAATTCTGGGCAAGGAAGACTGCAATTGGGTCATCTCAAGCAAGTCTGATCAAAAATGCCAGCAGGTTCAATGAGCAGAGGTCTAGCCAGGGAAGCTGCAGCCACTTACAACTCTGTGTGCATGCGCACACGCACATGTACCCACACACTCTTTTCTATTCGGTCGCTAATGAAGGTGTGAACCAAAAATTGCTGTCCAATCCTGCAGTTCAGTTTGAGGTCTGTGCAGACAGCAACTCCAAGGTGCCCAGGGATGTCATGTCCCCATTTCCGCTCTCGGGGTGACTGACAATCAGTTCTACAAGAGAAAAACGGGAGTGAGCCTTTTCTTCCCAGTACAGGATATGTACACGAGCTGAGGGCACCTCAGAACAAGACAGGGGGACCTGAGCCCAGTATTGTACCTTAAGGAAGCTAGCTGGCCTCCAGGAAGAAACTAGCTCAGAACTCGCCTGCTTCTCGCCCTCTCATTACATGACCAGCCTAGGCTCCTGCTTGCTTCACACCTATAAGCTAATGTTTTGTGTTTGGGGTTTTAACACCACAAGCATATGCAGCCAAGTAATACCAAACCGGAATAACCAGCACATCGAAAGCCTGGAGAGAAGTGGCTGAGCAAGGACTTTTATGCTGCACAGTGCTTTTTATTCTCTCTCTCCCTCTCGCAACTGGACAGCCATCAGAGAGGGGTGGCTTAACTTGGTGTCATGCACCAAGCAGGGAACTGGACCTGCTGGCCTTCTGGCCCTTCCCAACTCCATTATTCTGTGATTCTATGAAATAGGCCCTACCAAACAAAAACTGTGTGTCTTATTTCCAGCGCGCAGAGGCCTGCATCCATAGTTCAATATGCAGTTCATTTTGCCCCCAAAAAGGGTGCATGGAGATCTAAGGACACTGTCAACCTTGCTTCTTGAATATAATACTATTTGTCTCCCTTAAGAGACCATTTCCTAAAATCTGGGACTAAATTACTACACTATCAGAAGCCATTCTTTCATGTTGCATGGAACTGAGAGCAGATCAGCAGTAATAATTCATTTCACTGAACATGCTGCATGGCATTGCCTGAATACATACGAATATTACACAAGTTTCTGCACATAAGTTATATATTTACACTCTTTTAATCAACACTTTGTAAAGAACAAGATAATCAACACAAGTAAGAAAAGATGGGTTCTATCTTGGAAGAAAGACTAATTTTTTAAAAAAATGACAAGAATTCCCATGCACAATACAGATATAGGATTTTTTTTTTTTAAATCTCAGAAATGACTAATTAATGAGGCTCCTAGTGCATCACAGCTAATTCACCAGGTCTTCCTGGAATGTCCTTTTGCTAGTACCCCAGAACGTTTTGCTGCCCAAACCAATCTCTTAGGTAAGTTTATGGAGTCAGTCTGGCCCCCGCTGGTGTGCCTCAAAACAGCTACCAAGGTTTCCCTAGGGATGTGCCCTTGGACAGCATCCAAAGGGTATCTAAAAATATATTTATTGCTCTACTTCATGCCCCTTCTTAAATAAAAGGGTGACAAACATTCAAAACTAAGCATCCAGTTAATGAGCCAAACAAGTCATCTAAGCAGACCTTTATACATACATGTTGATCTTGTTACACCTTTAATAAGCTAAAGGCTTAACTGCAAACTTACTTCAATGCAGTTGCTGATTTTGCATCTAGGTTGAAGTCAAAACTGGTCAGTAGTGCAATATCCTGATTCAGAAATCGTTACCTGTTGATCTCAAGATTACTATAATGTATTTACCAAAGAACATTTTTTAAAGGGCATGATCTAGCCCAGAGCTTAGAGAAGTCAGTGTGCTATAGTGGTTAGAGTGTTGGGCTGGTTTCTCCACTCAGCCATGGAGCTTGCTGGTTGATCCCCAACCTAACTTACCTCCTGGACTTATTGTGAAGATAAATGCAGGGGAATTCTGCAAGCACCTTTGTTCCTTGCAGGAAAAAGGTGGGATAGAAATACAATAAAGAAAATAAAGAAACAGACAAGTGCTTCTTACATTTTTTCATCGTCCTGCTTAAAATGAAGCATGTTGGTGCCTTGCTTATCAGCCTGTATGACCTGCAACTTCCTAAGACCTCTGTGCACATTGCCACACCTGCTTCTGAGTAGACACAACTCCTATTTTTGTATTAACCCTCCCCTGCACCATTCAAAACATTAAGCATAAGGTTAACTGTGTAATCTGTGCAAAAAGCCCAGAGACAAGACTTAACAAAAAATACCAAAGAGTTGGGGAGATAAGCTTACTTTTTTGGAAAGTAGATGCAGCAAGCAAGCCCTGTATGTTGAGGTTCAGACATCCAGTCTCTTATGCCGCAGGCAAAAGTGGTCAGGCGGTCAGCAGGCAGGCATTCAACTCAGTGGTGTGCGGCAGAAAGGAGCTCCTCGCAGCACTGGCACTATCAGTGATTCTCTGGTGCAAGAACAGGCAGCATGACTGGACAAAAGGATGAGAGATTCTAAGCAATATTCCAGTTCAGTCAACTCCCATTCCATTATGGCAAAAAATCACTTAAAGAGTTTGTTTGCCAGGAATTCTTTTAATGACAGAATTTAAAAAAGACCAAAAACAGCTTAGTTCAACTGCCTCCTTTAAACAAATGGTCTGTATTTATAGTTACAAATACTGTATAGACAATGCCTTCTTGTACTGCACAACCAATAAATACAAGAATGACCCCAAAATGTCTAAATTCTGTTGAAAATGTGCCTGAACTTCTACTTATTTTAAATTAGAACATTCTCAAACAAATCTGCAACATTATGTTTGAACTCAAAATACAATGGCATCTACAATTTAAAAGAAGCCTTTTTAGGAATTTGTCCAACAACGCCTCTTTTTTAGAGATCAATATGTTCACAAAAATAGTTGAATGAACAACAGTATCATTGAATGGACTACTGGAAAGGGCTCCAATCCTGTGTAGCATTACTAAGGGCTAAGTTCCATATAGGTCCATGGGACTTATCTGTACTATATAACCAATAGCAGGATTGCACCCAAAAAATGTTACCAAACATACAGAAGTATACACTTTACCATAAGCAATTATGCAAATCAGAAGATGACATCTGTAATTTATTTCAAAAGTTCAAAAAAAGGAAAACCCAAATTACAGAAAAGAAAAATCATTTATTTAATGAAAAACTAGAAGTTAATAAAAATTAGCAAATACACAGAAAATCTACACAAGAACAGCAGCAATACTATGTAGTGACTTACGACAGGAGGGGAGGACGAGGAGGAGGAATAAGGAGAAGGAGCAGCCAGATATCTGACCACCTTGCATGGCTTGTCAGTCAAAAGAAAAGAACACAAATGAAACACAGAACAGTATCCTTTCCAAAAGTACAATTAATCTACAAACAAGTTTAGAATTATTTTACAGCACTTTTCGTAGAATCAATGCTTAATACAAAAGGATGCCCATTTTGGGTATATTTTATATATATATATATACACACACACATATATATATATGTATATTTTCAGTGGTTTACTGCTGACTCACTTTAAATATATTAGTGTTATTACATGCAACGGTTTCCTGCACTTTAGCAACCTTCCCATTAATTTACCTTCATATACGCTAGCCTCTCCCTACTAAATTGTTCACATCTGGCAGTCAAAGATGTTTACCTTGTTTACTTTCTATGAAACTGAATGCAATGGGTTGGGGGGGTTCCTTAGACACTGGCCTGGAAATGTCAGATTGTAGTCTCAACACATCGAAATCGTCACATTAATGCCTAAATTGCCGTTCTCTGCAAAAAGCTGTGCAATGCTGGTGTCGAAGACTAGACAGTCACTGTTCATAATAGCAGTTGCAATCCCCTCATGAATCGATCGAGGAGTTGCTTCCCAAGTCAATCGCCGCCTGTGACCATTTAGTTCCAGGCGGTAAGCAAAATTTTCGGCTTGCTTCCGTGTTCCTATCAGCTGTACAATTGCAAAGAACTGCTGATGACCATCATATTTCTCCTGTTTCTCCAATACTAACATGAAGTGAAAACCAAAACAAGACTGCATCATCACCCAGTCAACAGCGCCAGGAAGATTAATGTCTGTAGCAAGGAAAACTATATCTTCTCCCTGTAGTGTTGTTATTGACTTATGCTGGTGCATGAGATGGGGCATGACAGCATCCAGAGAGCCTTGCCACTTACAAGAAGCACCAGGGCATGGACACGAGTAAGGCCTAAATTCGCAAAGCTCTTCATGATCTGCTTTTTCAGTGTGGGGCAAAGTTATCTCGCAGCCAGAGGAGGCATATTTACAAGGAAACAGTACAGAGTTGGCAACTTTTTCCATAGCCAAGTTACGAATGGAGCCCAGTGGCCCTCGGCAGGTTGGACAGCATGTGAGCTTAGGACGACAGTTGCTACAAACAAGATGGCCACTTTGGCACTGCAGAATAGGTGGCAGTACATAGTCAAAACACACAGGACACTCAAACAGACTGGCCAAGTCATTGTTGGAAGCAGTAGTGCCAGTCAATGCAGGCACCCTCTGGGATGGTGTACACTTGGAGGTACCCGTGGGAAGTGCTGTAGCCGTCTGACGACTCATTTCTGCAAGAAAATAAAACAGAATGAGCACATTTCTAAGCTGCCTCTTGCAAATCAATAAAAGCATCAACTATATATTTTAAGGAGATCTCATATATTACTGAACATAAGGATGGTCTGATCCAGCAGAGCCTTAGGTTCATCTATTCCAAAATCTATTTCTCCTACTGGCCACTCAGATGTTTTTGAAACGCTCACAAACACAGCATGAAAGCAAGACACCTCTGACTTTGTTGCAGTCCCTCCAGGAATCATTAATTACAGGCATGCTGCCTCTAAACATGGAAGTTCCATACGACTACAGCAGCTTAGCTACAAAAAGTCTGATCCTCTATTAATTTGTTTAATCCTTTTTAAAGTAATTTATGATATGGGGGAAATAATTCATAAAACCAATAGGTTTTTACTTGGATGGATAACAGCAATGTAGAGAATTAAACATTTTAAGCAAAGAATGTACAGAATTAAATGATTTAAGCAAAATAGTTCTCATGAATGTTACAATTATAAGAACAGTCATAAAGGAAGGTTGTATAAATAATTGCTCTACCAAACTGATTAGGGCAGCTGTGTTTTAGGGTTTTTTTTTTAAAGTCATCTCTAAGGCCTTCAGTACACCCTCAGGCAGTGACTCCATATATTAACTGAATGTTGAGAGAAGAAGTACTTTTTTTGGTCATTCCTGAATCTCCTACCAATCAGTTTCACTAGGTGACCCAAAGAATACAAAATGTTACCATATTTAACTCCTAGAAACTTGTGATTCACATTAAAACATAAAAGCCACCATCCAGTTATATATATTTTAGGTCTTACTGAAAGCAGATCCCAATGGAGTTTAAGGGTGTTTAACTGTCTGGACTGCAGCCAAAATATGCAGTTAACACATAGTATTAAAAGACTTATGAAGCAACTAGTTTGGGCATTAACAACTATCAGAAAGTGTGGTTTTGTACGGAAAAGTTGTGATCATGATTGGTTTGAGTAACACAAATCTGTGAACAAAAATGTGCTTGGAAAACAAAATACCAAGTCAGGTTATTTGCATGAAACTTTAGCCATGTCTTAGAATTGGATTACAAACCCATCAGCCCCAGACAACATGGATAATGATAAGAAATGATAGCTGTAATTTCTGGCGGACCATACACTCTCCACTCTCCACTGTGTGCTTTAGTTGCACTCAGACACAGGGTCTCAACCATATGCCCTTTGTTACAGCTGTTAAACAAAACCTACAAAAGATTGCAATCCTGACTTTACCAATTTTGGCTTGTTTTACTGCATATTTGACCCCATGTGGAGAAATTCTTAGACAGGTAACAGTGGTCCATTGCTAATGATCTCACAGAGATGAGGCAATGTTTCCAACAGCACAAAATCTGTTCAATTAGCAACTTGACAAAAACACAACTTCTCTAGGTCAGTTCTGTGCTGCTGAACAGACCTCCTCCTCGATGCATTCAGAGCCCTTACTCAGTACACCCTGGGCAGTAATTAGTTATTTTCCAAGGCCACTTGCAGTGCAGAAATCACTATCACCTTAGTGATGAGCACTTAGCGAGGCAAGGAACAGTGTCTCAAGAAAGAATGATAATATCATTAATTAACAGATTATGTATAAGAGGGGTTTTTTAAAGATAGGAAAGCAACATTTTTAAAACAAAGCACTTAAAATTCAACTAACATAATGGCTTACACTTGGGTTTTCATATTAGTCAAAATATTTTCACAATGTGTCTCCCTAGCCATCTGTCTACATTTCTGTGTGTGGCTGTAATGCTATACTTCAGAGAATATAGCTAACACCTTAATGATATTCACTGTCTTACCAGTTAATACTGAGACACTTATGATGTGGTGAAAACAGAAAAACTAAGGCATGCTGGAGTTTGGTAAAGGGAGTACCAGGTGACAGAAATCTGTTTTTAGGCAATAACAACTACATGCATCACAAAAAGTTTGACACTATTCAGCCAAGCACAATTAGCACACATGAGCAAGAGCATCTCAACCCTGTGGAATGCTTTAGATGTATGCCTCGTTTCTCTGCCTTTTTGTCAAACAATATGCTAATAAAGACATCCACCAACAAATACAAGTTAACCTGACTATCATATATGAACCTATCAGAACATTAAATTATGAAGGACTTTTTTGTACACATGAAAAATCAACTAGTTTATTATGTGATAATTTAGGTTCTAAATTTTAGGATTTACTGTATGAGCCAATTTCCAACAATACCTTGATATGAACTCAACTGTAGTATTCAACAACTAGCCACATCCTGCTATTGAGAGTAAAACAGATGGGAAACTCATTCTGAGATATATATATCCACAAGAGCACCCCTGCCATTAACAAAAGTATCAGAATCCTATGTCAATTCAAAATGATGTACCTGGCTGGTCTATCAGACTTATATTGAACACATTAGCGCTAACACTTTTTATTAGCTTCTTTTTCAGAAGAAGCTAATGCTCCATCTCTCCATTTTGACAAGATTTTGATTGGAATATGGGGCCTTGTTTGACAAGGTTTGAGCCACAATCCTCTGACCACTAGACAAGACCTGAGTTTGCAAATGACATAATCCAACGGGGATGCATGTAACCCTCTCTACTCAGAAGATTACAGACATCCTGTACAGCAGGAGTCTCAAACTCAACTTACCTGGGGGCCGCTGGAAGCAGAGTCTGGGTGAGGCTGGGTCGCATCAAGTATTCCACCACTGCGGTGGTGGTGGGCCGCTCATCCCACGGCCGGCCCGGGTGCCGCCGGAGCTTTGAAGGCCACAGGGCCCCTCCCCCCATGTCCCGCCCGTCCCGGCCATTGGCCCACGGGCCACGAGTTTGAGACCCCTGCTGTACAGGATAGGCGGAGGTACAGATCACCTCAGTGCTTCTCCTGCTCTGCAAAGCATTCTTGTTCAAGGACAGCCGATTTCAACCAGCCAAATGCAACATGTCCAAGGGGGCAAAAGAAGGATCTATGCCAGAATCTATCATATCTAGGCAGTGTCAGTCTCCTTCGTTTCTGCCCCCAAACCACTTCTCTGAGGTCACTCTTATGACTTTGGAAATGCAGCTGGTGCAGTTCTTTCTGCATTGGCTGCAAGTGGAGGGCATTCCAAGGTCAGATCAGTTTTCTGTTATCAGAACTGGGACAATGAAAAATTCTATAGTCCTGTAGATGCTCCTAGGGGTCACAGGATTGCTCTGCAAGTGTGTTTTGCAAACTCACTTTCTACTTTGCTTAAATGAGTGTTTGTTTGTTTTTTCTTATTAGATTGACAATTATTAAAGCATCATACATCTTGAACAGGGCTCACAAATTTTCCATTTAAAAAATTAAAACCTTTAGACCAGACCCTCAATTTCATCAACACTGCATTTCCCTATCTCCTTAGTTGTTTAAGCACCAGATAAACAATAATTAAGTCCTAACACAGAGTCCTTAATTCACCTTTTCCAATTTTTGCTTTTGATTCCTGTTAAAATCTGAAAACTTAACATGCACAATGTGATCCAATACAAATAACTCAATCTATTCTATCTGTTCCTGTGTTCATACCAATACCTTATTATTGATCAATACCTAGAATTAGTCCCATTACTATTGTAGTGTTCATGCTCTACTATCATTTGGTTGTAAATATGTTTTCTTATAAGTATTCCAATGGAACCAAAATTAAAGTGGCAATAGTTTCAAGTTTAAACTCCTACTGAATATCCAAACACTCATGTCTTTTGCAAGAGCAGACATCTTCATACCTCTTCATCTATTACATAGGCCTACCAAGCAGCCACAACATTTTTGCAGTATGATGTAGTGAGCAACTTGAAGCAAACTAAGCAAAATCTAAACTGCAGCATGACGGCATGAGCTAATGCTACCAAATAGAAGTGAATCCCTAAATCACTATGGGACCAGTTGTTAAGAGGAAGCTACACTTGAGGCAGGGTGGGATGGGAGTGGAGAAGATTAATATTCAAATTATATCTTCCCCTGTTTTTCTATCAAGTGCACAAGTTTAATGTTTGTTTCTTGATAAGTAATAAACATTTTAATTTGTATTTGCCATAAGCTTGGAAACAACTGTGGCTCTTGACCAATGTACTAGCTATGGGCTCAGACATTATCTTGCAGTTCATATGTGTGAAATAAAGCTTGAATAAAGTCATTGCCTGCTTTTATAAACACATGTGAAATCATGTGGAGAGCAGGACTGAAGGTTCAAGTAGATTTCATTATACTATCCAGTTGCATCAATCCTCCCACCCCAAAAAAAGAAGCAGCACTCATACTAACAAATTACTATTTATGAAGAAGTGAAGTTACAACCAGGGTCATTTCTACCAACAGAATATTTAAGACAAATCTCCAGGAGTATAACAGATCAGTGGGCACATGCAACAGCCTGCTATTCAGGCTGTAGGGGGTGGCAAGCTCATCTCTGCAACCAAGTGAAGTAAGTAGCCGGTGAGTCACTGCTCTTTAAGTATGTCTTGTGTACCTTCTCAAGACAAAAGGTACAGGGTGTGGATAAATGTGGGATACTGCCTCACCATCACAGAGCCTGTCAGATCCTGCCCGATTCTGAAACTGATTTCAGACATTCAGCAGCCTAAGTGCATCTGTTCTGTAACCACATCAAAATTTCACTTGATACCACAATACAAGACTCCCATTCTCATCTGTACACTCCAAAATTCCCCTGAGCAAAGTATTACTAAAATGTCAGTTCTAGCAGAAATTATGAACTGTGAAACCTATTCAGTACCTTTGTACAGAAAAAAGTTCTAGTGCAGGCAAGGAAACTGCAGTCCCCTATTATATTTTCCCCAAAATATTCTGGCCATGCTGAGTAAATAGAAGCATTTTTAAGTAGGATTAATCCTTGCCAGTGCTTCAAGAAATAGATTTTCAGATTCACATCTCCAAATTAGGTTCCTTTGGCATTACAACACTAGGGCATACTAAGGTGGTAGGGTTTTGTAAAACAAAATGTACAAACACACTGTGGATTATATGGTACCACTAATTTAAATACCATTTTTGCATGCATTTTTGCCATATTTAAAAAGTAGTGAAGCAGGGTTAACAAACCTATTTCACAGCAAGTTATTTCACTCTGACCTGAACAGAATACACAGTCCAACTGCTTGGACCAAGGCTTGCAGGAATATTCCCATGCTTGTGAGTGGAGGAAACTACTTAAAGTTGTTTGCCTCACCACACCAAACAAGGAAAACTGCTAACAGTAGCAGACTTTAACAAATCTCACTAGGGTTCAGTCCCTAGCTATTCCTATTTAGAAATGCTACCTTTTCTTTTGCTGGTTTTATTTCCTGGCAAACATGTATCGAGGACTCCTTTCCATGCATATAAAAAACTGAAGGCGGATTTCCCCGTCATGAGGAGTAAGACAGCTCATTGCGTTTCTCCATAGAAACAAAAACAATCCACAACAGAGGCCCCTCCTGGAAATTCCAAGGCTTGGAGACACACGGAGCTACACAATACCCAGAAGGGGGCACAAATTCATGCGAGGCAAGCAGCTCCTTGAAAAAGGCAAGGGCGTGGAAACCCAACTCCACTCCTTTAAGTAAAGTTTCCAAAGTAATCCAAAGTGAAAGTCACCGGGGTTGGGGGAGCGCAAGAGGGATGAATCCGCGGATCTGCCCAGTCTCCAGTTAAGATCCACTTTGATCAGGAAGACTCCCCAAAATGGATCCCCAAATTTCCACCTCCTCCAGCCAGTTAACTCCTATCCTTGCACGATCTTCGGAACACCCGCAACTCTAGTTTAGATACAGCTGAGCCCGCGCCCAAACCCAAGAGGGAGGCACGCAGTCAAATCCGAGAGCAAAAGCAGCAACTCCTAAGACCAGTCCGGTGCCTCGTGTGGCAAAATCATTGGCTACAGAAGGAACCCTGAGCTTGCTCCGCTTGAGCTCCCAACAAGCGCCAGGGAAGGAGGAGAGGCGGTGTCCTGCCTCGGCCCACGGAGGGAGAGAGACAGGCTGGCGGGCGTATCAGCCTCACATGATCAGCCGGACTCCGCTCTCAGCCAGCTAACGCAAGCGCCCATCAAAGCAGAGTGCGCTTAGCGCAGCAAAGGAAACGCCGGGAAAAGAAGGGCTGGGCCCTTCCCCTGCCACGCACCGCCCGACCCTGGTCACAGCTCGCCTAGAAGACGCTATCGAGGCGGGATGCAAACAAGAGCCCCCGCCCCCTTCCTCCAACGATTAAGCTGTCTCCAGAAGCAGCTGACAGAGTTCAATTACCGTCCTTCCTGCACAGCAGGATTAATATGGAGCAAAAAGCAACCACCTCGATGAGCCTAAGTTAAACGATCCAGCTCTGGCGCTCTTGAATCACCGAGCAAAATAGTTCGCTGTTAGATGGGATCGTCCCCTTTCCTCTAGGAATTTTGGTACTTCATGGAACTAAATATATGGCTGATACGTTAGTACATAAGAATTTGGCTTGTGTTGGTCGTCAGATACTTGGCCTATTTAGCTCAGGGCTGTCTGATTCATCTGGAGGGCACCAGGCTGGAGAAGGCTGATCACAGCAGCCTCCAGAGGGTTAAAAACGAGCCTTTCCCAGCCCTACCTGGCAATACAAGGCGCTATTCTCCATGCAAAGCACACATTCCTCTGACCTATGGCACCAGGATAATTTTTTAAAATAGTCAGTACACGCTGCTAAATTTTTTACAATACCAAAGGAAGAATGAGCCTAATCTGAGGTGAGGGACTTGTGCTGGTGAGGTGCTGGTGCTGGTACAAAGGCCAGTGGTTACTGTATACAAAATGCCAGGCATAGTACTGACTGCAACCCTACACAGCGATGACACATGGAGGAAACAACTGCAAGCTCTAGAATCTAGAGTCTAGCTGGTCATCTGGCTATAGCCCACTGCATGCTATATGGTTTTTATAAGCCCACAGCACCCCTAAGTGCATGGTGAGGAAGGGGGAGATGGAAGAGTATGTCTGGCCAGTAGACCATTTCAGGTTTAAGGCCCAGCATAGCTTAAAACATGCTGATGGACCTCAGAATCCAGTGAATAAGGTGGCCACCCCAACGCACTATTTTAAGGCAATGTGGCCTAAAATGCCATTTTCTGTTGCTGTTTTTATGTGCCAGCAAGTCATCTCCTATTTACAGCAGCCCTATGAATGAAAACCCTCCAAAAGTCTTAACAGTGACAGTCCTGCTCTGCTCTTGTAAATTCAAGGCTGTGGCTTCCCCAATGGAGACAATCCAACTCATATTTGGTCTCCTCCTTCTGCTGCCTTTGGCTTTCCCTAGCACAATTCTCTTCCCCAGGATGTTATCTTCTCACGAAGTGTCCAAAGTATGACAGTCTCAGTTTTGTCATTTTTGCTTCTAGGAAAAGCACTGGCTTGATTTAATCTAGGACCCACTGTTTCTTTCAGTCCAGGTTATTTGCAAAACTCTCCTTCAGCACCATGTTTCGAACACACCAATTTTCTTCCAGTCAGCTTTCTTCACTGTCCAGTTTTCACATCCATACACAGTGATCAGGAATACAACAGCCTGGATTATCTTCATCTTGAAATCCAGTGAATTGGCCTTACACTTGATTATCTTTCCTACTTTCATTGCTGCTCTCCTAAGACAACTTCAAATTTCATAGCTGCAGCCTCCACTGGCATTGATAACTGAGATAAAGTATGTAAAATCTTTCACAATTTCAATTTCTTAACAGTAAAGTTCTGAAATTCTTCTGCAGACATTATTTTTCTTAATATTCAGCTGCAATCCTGTTTTTGAGCATTCTTCTTGCACTTTCATCAGGAGCCATTTCAACTCATTGCTGCTTTCTTCCAGTAATATGTTAAATTATTGATGTTCCTTCCACCAATTTCCACTCCTTCCTCTTATTCTAATCCAGCTTTCCTTGTATGTTCTGCATACTGATCGAACAGATAGAGATAAAATACATCCTCGTCTGATGTCTTTGCTTAGGTTTCCCCATATTCTGGATCTCCTTTTTTCCTGACTGGGTCAGGGCCAGTTATAATGATCAAAATAATAAGTTTATTATAAATTTAATGGAGCATATAATTTAATAGACTGAAGAAATAATCCTACACAAGTTTAAACAAAAAAGTCCTACAAACCACACATGCTGGTAGGGGGATGCTGGGAGTTGTAGGCCTTTTATTTGTCTAAACATGCATAAATTGTGTCTCCAACTAAGTAAGTCTTAATGGAGTAACTAATTCATTAGTGATCAGTGTGTATTAGCATTTTACATCTGAATACAATTTACCTCTCCTGTAAAATCTGTTATAAAGCCATTTCTAAAAATTACCAAAGTTTGCACAACCAAAGAAACTGCCTTAATACCAGTCCAAGCACAACCTAGCAAATATGAAATACCTAGCAAATGTGTGTGTACACGTGCGCATGTGTGCATGCACATGTGCAGGCATGCACTACTGCACTAAGAGAATGCAGTAGTGTTTAACTAATGTTAAATACTGGATTTTAACCAGGAGGCTACCCATTAAAACAGAGAAGGATTTATAAAATGAGCACTATGGTGAAAAGAACACTGATTTCACAGATAAGCAAAATGGTGAAGCTAGAAGACAAGTAACTTGTCAAATAGCCTGAATACAAGGCAAAAGCAGAGTCTGAACTTCAGAACTCAAAACCTTTGGACCCAGTTTTCTTTCAAAATCCACTCCCAAATACATTCTCAATCACAACCCCACATTCCCAGCACAGAATATCCACTCATCCTACCACACATTTCTTTCTCTCAGGATTACCCAATTGCTCTTTCCTTAACTTCCAATGCCCACAGTTTAAAAAACAGAAAAACACTTCCCTGTTCGATCACCCCCATCTGTAGGCCTCCCAAACAGCTCCCATTGTTCTCTGCACTTCCCACTGAACCCACTGTTCTTCACTGAAATTAGAAAGGGTCCCGAGAAGGGCAACAAAAATGATCCAGGGTTTGGAAACACTGCCCTGTGAACAGAGACTGAGAATAGAGCATGTTCAGCCTTGAGTAGAGAAAACTGAGGGGGGGCATGATATCCCCATATAAGTACCTCAAAGGTTGTCACAAAGAGGAAGGTCAAGATCTCTTATCACTGATACCAGCGTGTAGGACATGGAATAATCAAGTCAAGTTGCAACAACCCAGATTCAGGCTAGATATCAGGAAGTTTCCTCACTGTCAGAGCAATGCAACAGTAGAAAGGTTGTGGGCTCTCACACATTAGACATTCCAAAAGAAACTGGACAGCCATCTGAGTGGGATGGTGTAACAGCAGGGGGTTGAACCTAATGGCCTTCATGGCCCCTTCCAACTCTGCTATTCTATAATTCTATGATTATACCATTTTTTTCTCTCAAAACACTAGCTTGTTAATGAAATGGGTAAATGAGTCATTGTCATTTAGTTATTTTTCTACTGTACAAAGCTTAAACAGAGACAATCAACACTTTCCTTAAACTCTTATCAGTTTAGCTTCATCATCAAAGGTTGACTTTTTAGTACATATATTAGGTGGAAAAGAAAATCCATAATGGGGTTAGCCGTTATCTTCTATTAATAGATAATAACTGAATAACATTATTAAAATATACCTAAAATAATCCCCATAAAATGCATTCTATGTATTACAATCATTTTTCCTGCACTGAGTATTTCATAATTACAGGTAGATTGCTTAACTATAGTAATGTAAATAAGCAGTCTTTAAAAGTGAAAGTTATTTCTAAGCTGACAGAACAAAGTTGAAATTAGTAACTTAACTAGATTCTCTTTTGAGATATATGATGGGTTGCATACACACTAGAATATTGGATTCATTCCCTCACACCATAAGCTTCTCACTGTGCTAAGGTGCTGCTTCCATAGTTCCCCCAGGTTCAAAGACAGCTTAGGCTGCATTACAGCAGACTGACTCCGTAAGGATGTTAGAACCCCAGACACTCATCCCCCTTTGGATTGGGGTCAAATCATTCAAAGGTTTAAAGTTATGTATCGGTGCAACAAACACAAATAGTAACTACAAAGATTCTGAAAGCAAGCACCAAGGTCTTATTCTATTAAGTATGAAAGTCTGTGTCTATAGTGGCAAAAGAACCCTAGAGCTCAGGAAACATTTGAGTCTCTGGCAAGGAGAAATTTGGAGCTGAAAGCTACCCCTTTTTATTACTAGCAAGAAAAACAGCCAAGGAATGTAAGAGAACCAAGCACAGAAAGCATCACTATCCCTCTTTTGGGGAAGTGAGATAGCAGCAGAAGGGAAGGACATGTTTATCTGCCCCAGCAGTGATGTCATACTTTCTCCCCCTAGAATGCAGGAGCACTCTGCTCATGAGGACTTAAGAAAAGGCAACATCTTCAAGCCCTGCCTGTGTAAAATAAGCCTGATGGGTTGTGCTGTAACAGCATTTGCTGGACTATGTCCAAGATGAGTAGTGTCATCAAACTTGAATGGACCACTAGCAATCTATAGCACAGCAACATCCAAATGTTCCTATGTATATTTCTAAATCTGTAAACTGCCCAGAATGCTCAATAGGCTATAGGGTAGTATAAAAGTGTAGTAATAACAACTGTTCAGAAAGCATGCCATAATACATGTCCAGAATACAAGGCACTGCTACCTTGGTGTGTAATGCAATACATAACCAACTCCCCATGCCTTGTTTGAGTTTGCTGAGGGGTGCAGGGAGTTGTGCAGAAGCAGGCAGAAACTTAGGCCTAGGCATTTCATGAAAGAGTATGATACAAGTCTTAAAAATAGGCAAAGCTTATGTCCATTCTGGCACTAACTGGGTGATTTTGGGCCAGTCACAGACTCTCAGCCCAACCTACCTCACAAGATTGTTGTTGTGGGGGTAAGACTGAGAGAAGAAATATGTAAGCTGCCTGCAGTTCTTTGAAAAGAAAAAACTAGGATATAAATATAATTAACAAATGGATGCACA